GCCTAGAGCTGGATGCAGCAGGTAACCTGAAATGTTTGCACTACAATGCCCAAATTTTCTGCTTTTTTTATATTTTGTGTTTCAGAACAGATGCTTATGTCATGTTTTCTTTATGAAATTAGGCTACATTTGATTTAGCACTTAAAATGTTCCTGGCAAATTTAATTTCCTATTTGATTCAGATTTGGAAAAACTCATTTATAGTATTTTAAAGATCTGCTCATGTTGAATTGAAAACTATATTTTGAGGGGGGGAGAGAAAATAATTTGCCCTCTTTTCCCTCCTATTCTGACTGGGGGTCACTAACCTTTATGTGCCAAGGAAAATCCCCAGTGGGACTGTCAGTGGCCCTTGGGATTTTTCTGTGTTCTGCATGTCAGAGCAGGGAGCACCGTCTGTCATCTGTCCTTTGGGCAGCACAGGGCGAGCCAGGGGGTCTGGTTGTTGTTACGTGACAGACGTGGGCTGAAAAATAAAACAAGTAATAAGAGAGGAGTCACTGTTAGATCTGATTTAAAATGGGGTGAGCACAATTTATTAATAATGTTCCATTAAAAGTTCATCCCAGGCTTTGCCATTTCGTACCCTGTCCGTACTTTGGTTCCAAAGTCAGCTGAATGTTGTGTTATAGTTGGGGAGACAGGGTTTTACTGCACAGCATTTGAACTAATTATTGCAATGGAAGCTATGAAGATACCGTTACTTTTAACTTAGCTGAATAAAAAAAAATAAATATGATTGTAAATGAAATTTTCAGAGGAGGAGGGAAGTTTGGGGTCAGTTGCTTGTGCAGGCAAAGTATTTTCTTTTCTGAGAAATGCATGCAACAGCTTCTCCCATTTCACTCTACTCATATTTTGCATTTGTAATCTATGTAAACATTAAACTGATTTTGTAACTAATTATTCATTACCCAACACAGCCAAAAATGTTTTCTGTTTTTAATAAGTACTGAATTGAAGCTGGTCAAGTATGTTGGCTACAGTACGTAATAACACCAGCAATCTCCTCCCACCCCATTAAGGATATTATTTAAAAAAACAGCAATCCAAAACAAAACAACTCCCTCATGCTATTATTTATACTGCTCAGAGCTGTGCATTTTCCAGGTCATGTGTATGGTTGCAGTTGGACAGAAGTTCTGTGCTTGTTAAAAACAAATTTAAGCCATTATCCTCAAATTAATATTTCCTTCCTGATGGCTGAAGAAATGTTGTTGACCAGGGGAACGATATTTCATAAAAGATGCATAATTAAGATATTGAAACACAAAGTATTAATTTAAAACTAGTTCTCACTTTGTGGTGTCCCAGCACTAGGATTTGTTAACATGGAATACCTGTGGTTTCTGTTCCTTGTGCCTTGTTTACAGTCTTTGCTCAGCTCACAGAGGAGGGATAGAAATGCTTCTGGTGGACTCAGTGCTTTTATTTCACATCTTTGCATAAATAAAGAGGAACCCATTCTTAAGAATTTTTTAAATGGCTTTCCCATTTCAATCTTAACAATTTGAAAAGAAAAGAAAATATTGTGAATTTCTGTGAACAGTTAGTTTCCTAGAAAGTTGGAGTAAATATGCATTTTCAAAAAAAAAACCAAACAGAATAGTTCTCTTGATTTAATTGTATAAAATATTTTGCATTCATTATTTTCCCCAAATAATGAAAAATTATTCCAATTATTCCAGCATTCCAATAGCGACATCAATGGGAAAGGATCAACAGGGTGGGATAGGTCATTACAGATTAAGTAAGACTGTGCTACTCGTTATTTATTTCATAGCAGCAAGCCCCTTCTAGTTAAAATGGAAAAAAGCCTTTTTGTTATTTGCTTCTAGAGACAAGAATATCAAACTTACATTACTCTATTCAAGATCTGTATTCAGACTCTTGGTTTGTCTGACAGCTAAGCCCCAGTTTTTGCAGGTTTCTGTTCATGCTGTGAAATTTTTTTCCCATTTTCTTCATGTGTCCTTTTCCTTGTGAGCTTTATGACAGCAACCGTGGTGTTACAACCGCCTGTTCCAGTGTGTGCTGGACACTCTGAGGTTATTGCAGAGTTTTTTCTGGGATTTTTGAGCCATGACTTGTGGGAGGTGGCAGCAGGACCCTGCTGCTGCTCCAGGGGGGATCCCTGATTTCACACCCCTCCACAGAATTCCTGTAATGCCAGATTAGCCTGTGGGTATTGCTGGGGGAATCATCTGAGCCTGGGGAGAGAGGCTGTGGGACAGGAAAGGGAGCACCTGGATTTGCAAAGCCTTGGGAAGCCCAGGGGTTGGAGCTGCACGTTCCTGGTGGGATCCTGCCAAGCTGTGCTTGGCCATTTTCTACTCTTAATATGGACATCTCTTTGGTTTTATAGTTCTTCTCCATCATGATTTTATTTTCTTCTTAGTTTCTCTTACTGTTCCTGAAGATCTGGTCTTGTATTTAACGAATTGTTTTGCTCCCTATTCTCAGCAATCATTCTAAGCTATTTTTTCATCTTCAATCCCACCCCTTCCCTTTATTTTGTCTCCTAAGTGTTCTCAAATTTGAGCACTGCTTTAACCACCATCTTTGGGGGAGAGGAGAAAGGAGCTGATTAAACAAGCAGCTCCCTTTGATCTCATCAGCCATGGTGCTGTTCCTGTGAGCGTGGAGACGTCCTGGGCGCTCTCCTGATCCTCCTTCCCCAGCCTGCCCTGCAGGGCTCTGCTGGGGCAGCACCTGCACACAGAGCTGAGCTTTCAGCTTTGAGGAGACCTTTCATTGGAACAATGGATTTCCAGCCACTTTCAAATCCTTCTGTAGAGGCTCAAACACAGCTCTGAGTCGCACCACCCACAGGGTTGAATAAAATCTCCTGTAACTCCTCTTATCTGATTCCTTGGTTGCCTCAACTTCTTATCTTCTGGCCTGGCCTGCTGCTGCTTTTTTCCCTTTGTTCATTCCTGCTCTGCTAAGAATGTTCCTCGGCTCATTTCTCTGACCCTGCTGACCCTTTTTAAGTCCTTGCACAGCCTGCCTTCCCCTTCCATGTCTTATCTGGGATTCAGGTCTCTGTTTAACACCTGTGTAGCAAATCTTAGATCATCAGGTAAATGTTCAATGCTGTAGCAGTGGCTGTATCCATCCAGGAATAACAGGGTGCTTTCTTCCTTTCCAGCCATTGCATGTAGGGGAAGGAATCCAGGTAAATCCAAGTGGTTCTGTTCATGTTCCTTCAGATTTGTCATGTGCTTGTCAATTATTCTGGAAGAAATTCTTCCCTGTGAGGGTGGTGAGGCACAGGGTGCCCAGAGCAGCTGTGGCTGCCCCTGGATCCCTGGAAGTGTCCAAGGCCGGGTTGGACAGGGCTTGGAGCACCCTGGGACAGTGGGAGGTGTCCTTGCCCATGGCAGAAGGTGAAATGAGATGATTTTTAAGATCCCTTCAAACCCAAGCAATTCTATTTTCTGTGATTATTTAGGTCTTTTCCTGGTATCATGAGAAGATAGGTGATGAACTAAAACTGTTTTTCCTTTTCTTTTTCAAAAATCCTTTCTTCTGCTTCAATTAATTTAAGGGTTTTTTTAAAAGCAATCTGGGTTGGTTTAGCACATTAGTTCTTCATCTTGAAAAATCTTCATAAGGCAACCAAGCAACCACCTTAAAAAGCTACAGGTAAAATGTGTGAACAAGATTTTGTCAGAGAGAGAGAGAGCTTTTTCTCATCTTGGGAGTAAATTTTGCAGTATCAGAACACCTCTAATTAGAGGAGCTAATCACACCAACATATTTGTGATTTAAATTGATTCATATTAAGCATTCGTTGTTAACATCTTGTTTGGGGGATTTGTTGCATCCATCTTCCTCACAAAAATATTCATTTTATTCACAAAAAGAGTAGAAGCCATGTTGCAGCAGATTCAAAGCAAGTAAAAATAATTGACATCCAAAATTTGTTACTTTGATATGTGCAAGCAGTTAAGAGGAGCTCTTCTGCAGATTGTCTCCTTGGATCAGACTGAAATACTTGTTATCAAATTCCTGTCAAAAGAAACGGAGAGAAATAATCATGTACAGAGCAATTGGGATGGAAAGGAAATGCAAAGCCTTGACCAAAGCTTGAGTTCTTAACATGAGATGTGTTGTGCCTTCCAGTTTATCGTCATACCCTGGTGAGCAAGCAGCTGCTCAAGAGCTCTTGGTTAATTTTTTGGGTTAGTGTCTGGGTTTGAGGCTGTGACAGTGCTGAAAAGGCACAGCATCACTTTTCACTGGCTTGGTGACACAGGGGATTGTGTGTACAAATCCCAAATGATGTATAAACCACGAGTAAAGCCTGTGAGAGGTAAGTTTCCTGACAAAACTGTCAGTTATATTAGAGATGCCCAAGTTCTCTGCTAAAATATACATTGGTGGTGTTTATAAGCAGCACCTAACAGTAAAGGTTGCTGCCTGGATTTGTTTCTTTGTTTCCAGGAAGGGTTGCAAACCTAACTACAGTATGAATTCAGTGTGTTGTGATGTGGGTGTGTATGTAATATCTCAGGGCAGGATGACATTTTACATTTTTTTATTGGATGCACTTTCATTGTGTTTCTCTGAAGAATGAGAATTGAGTCAAAATAAATGGTAAGAGTCTGCTAGGTACTCTTCTGTGTTTTTTTCCAAATTTGCTTTTTAGACTTTTGACATAAATTAGTATATTTGCTCTTCTTATTTATTGCCTGCTTATTATTTTTACTGGTACACTGGGGGCTACAAAACACTTCTCTGTTCTAAAATGAATTCGTTCAGTTATTTTAATTGAGAGTTTTGTCAGATTAAAAAAAAAAAAAACCCAAACAAGTTAATAGGAGCATCATGCTCCATCCATTGTAGTGAGGAAAATTGCTTTATTATGTTAGAGAATGTACTCTAAATTTCAGCAGAATGTAGTGTTGTAACTAGTGATGTAAAACAGTGCTTTTAATAGAGGGCTTTTGCAGTGCTTGAACAGTGGACTCATTTTTAACCTTGGATCCTTTCAGATCTCAGCCACAGTGGATTGGGAGACCATTATGAGAATTCCCACTGGGGACAGCAGCCCGCTTTCAGGAGTGAAGGCAACTGCAGCTGGGATAAAGTGATAATAGACAGGACTGACAAGGAAGCGTGGCCTTCCATTACCGGAGCTGAGACTGAGTCTGCCTCAGAATGTACTACAGACACTGACTCTGCCTCCAACTGTGGCTCAGAGAACAGTAGCATGGCTACAGGGAGTGCCCAAGGCAACTTCACTGGACATACAAAGAAAACTAATGGCAATAATGGCGCCAACGGAGCACTCGTCCAAAGCACTTCTAACCAGAGTGCCCTTGGAGCTGGTGGAGCCAACGGCAACGGCAGCTCGGCCAGGGTGTGGGGGGTGGCTGCGGGCTCCAGCTCTGGCCTAGCTCACTGCTCTGCCAGTGGTGGGGATGGAAAGATGGACAACATGATGGGAGACGGTAGAAGTCAGAACTGCTGGGGTGCTTCCAACTCGAATGCTGGCATTAATCTTAACCTTAACCCTAATGCCAATCCAGCTGCCTGGCCTGTACTTGGACATGAAGGAACTGTGGGAGCAGGCAACCCTTCCAGTATTTGCAGTCCAGTCAGTGCCATAGGTCAGAACATGGGCAACCAGAATGGGAACCCAACAGGCACCTTAGGTGCTTGGGGAAACTTGCTGCCGCAAGAGAGCACAGAACCACAAACGTCCACTTCTCAGAATGTGTCTTTCAGCGTACAACCTCAGAACCTTAACACTGATGGACCAAATAACACTAACCCCATGAACTCTTCACCAAACCCTATCAATGCAATGCAGACAAACGGACTGCCGAACTGGGGGATGGCCGTGGGCATGGGGGCCATCATCCCGCCCCACCTGCAAGGCCTTCCTGGTGCTAACGGGACAGCGGTTTCTCAAGTCAGCGGGGGCAGTGGTGAAGGAATGGGCAGTTCAGTATGGGGGATGTCCCCAGGTAATCCTGCCGCAGGAAACAGCAATTCTGGGTTCAGTCAGGGGAATGGAGACACTGTGAACTCAGCATTAAGTGCTAAACAAAACGGATCCAGCAGCGCTGTGCAGAAGGAAGGAAACGGAGCGAACGCGTGGGACTCGGGGCCTCCCTCTGGCCCCGGGGTCCTGGCTTGGGGCAGGGGCGGTGGCGGGGTTGGCAGTGTGCATTCTGGAGCCTGGGGCCACCCCAACCGCAGCGCCAGCAACGGCGTCAACGGCGAGTGGGGCAAGCCCCCAAACCAGCATTCCAATAGCGACATCAATGGGAAAGGATCAACAGGGTGGGATAGCTCGAGTGTTACCAGTCCCAATCCTGCCATGCAGCAGGGCAATGAACAAATGAACTCTTGGGCCAAAGCTGCAGCATCTGGCACCACAGCTAGTGAAGGAAGCAACGACAGCGGTGGGAGTCAAAATGAAGGCAGTACTGGGAGGGAGGGGGCTGGAGAGGGCAGGAGGAGAGACAAAGGGATGATAGACCAAGGGCAAGTTCAGTTGCCAAGAAATGACCTTGACCCCAGGGTCCTGTCCAATACGGGGTGGGGACAGACCCCTGTGAAGCAAAACACTGCCTGGGAATTTGAAGAGTCCCCAAGGTCTGAACGGAAGAATGACAATGGAACTGAGGCCTGGGGTTGTGCAGCTACTCAATCTTCAAACTCAGGGGGGAAGAACGATGGGTCCATCATGAACAGTACAAATACCTCTTCAGTATCTGGGTGGGTCAACTCTCCACCGGCAGCTGTTCCAACAAATACAGGTTGGGGAGACAGTAACAACAAAGCACCAAATGGCCCAGGGGGGTGGGGAGAGTCAGCAAGCTCTACTACTGTTAATAATGCTGCTGCTGCCAAAAGCGGCCACACTTGGAGTGGGACCGCAAATCAGGAGGACAAATCACCTACCTGGGGTGAACCTCAAAAACCCAAATCTCAAAACTGGGGAGATGGACAGAAATCAAATCCAAGCTGGACTTCAGGAGGTGGAGACTGGACAGATTCATCATCTGTTCCTGGACACTTGGGTGATGGGAAGAAGAATGGATCTGGATGGGATTCTGACAATAGATCGGGGTCTGGCTGGAATGATTCCACAAAGTCTGGGACCAGTGGGTGGGGGAATGGCACAAACAGCAAGGCTAATACAGGTACAAGTTGGGGGGAATCTTTAAAGCCAGGCCCCCAACAAAATTGGGCTAATAAACCCCAGGACAACAATGTGAGTAACTGGGGAGGAGCTGCTTCTGTAAAACAGACGGGGTCAGGGTGGGTTGGTGGGCCAGTGCCAGCCAAACAAAAAGAGAACTGTGAGGCAACTGGCTGGGAAGAGCCATCTCCACCGTCCATTCGCCGCAAGATGGAAATCGATGATGGTACCTCAGCTTGGGGAGACCCAAATTACAACAACAACAAGACTGTAAACATGTGGGATAGAAATAATCCTATAATTCAGAGCAGTACCACAACCAACACCACCACCACTAGCACCATTATCAACACCAACATGGTTGAACCTCAGCCATCGCACCAGTCAAGTGCCCAGCCGAACCGGTCCCCGCTGCTTGGCCCAGGTATGGCTACAGTTTTGTGAAATAGTTCATAAGATAGGTTTAAAAGATGCTTTATACCAGTACTCATTGCTGAATGCTGTCTGTCCTGTCGGTGTGTTGGGTAGAAATCCTGTGTTTATGTCCAGAATATGTTTGTTCCTTTGCTCTGAAGCTGTCTTGTCTTGAGGACAGAACCCATGGAACCTGACACAAATTTCCATAATCTGAAAGAATGTAAGAAAGGCTTGAAACAATATTTGGTCAATAGCATGGTAGGTTCTTAGATTGTGGATCCATGTTCATTTTAACATCTGTTCCACAGTTATTTAACACCTTTTAATTCAGCCATTTGAGAGGCTGGGGGATTTTGGCAAACCTTTTTTCTGTTATTTGTCTGCTGTCCCCACTGCGCAGGCTCAGTGTGTTTAGACAGTCTGCATCTGTTTCTTTTCTGCAAAACATCTCTTGGCAACAGATGTTTGTTAACAATTGCATGAATTTAGGCTGCTGCTGTTTCTCTGTCCAGCTTGTTGTCTTTTATGAAGAAATGGTTCTCTTCTCAGGGGTGGGGCACAGGCAGCGTCCTGGATTTTGTGTGGTTCTCAAAAAGCAGGACTGATTCCAGGTGTTAATATTCAGGGTGGCTGAAGTTAGGTTATCCTAACTTAGACAAGGTTTAGGTATTTAGGAATTTTTCTAATTGAAGGCAAGGTGCTGTTGTAGACAAGCAGCAAGGAATAAAAATGCATAAAGAATGGGAAAAAGCTTAAAAGAGAGGTATTTAAATAAAGGTTACACTAGCAGCCCATATCTATATCATGACCACAGACCTCTCCTAAATAAATCTAATCATGCAGTACTCTTTTAAATTCTCCATCTGAGTTTTGTTTCCAGGTTTTTGTTTCATCGTGGTCATGGCTAAGTACTGACTTTTTAACCACATTTTTCTCCAAGTGGGATTTGTTCTCTCATTTCCATCCTTTTTCTCTTTGATGTTTTGGAATGTTTCAAATTTGCTTTAATGTCTGTATAAAAATAGTCTTAGGTTCCCCACTCTGGTCAAATATGTTAACAGTAGAGGGTACCTATTTTAATGAAATAACGTGCTCCAGAAGGGGAAATCTTTAAATGGCTTTGTACTTGGTCAGCCCAGCATATGTGACTACCTTATTTAATCCATATTTAAAACTTTACCCATGAAACAAGAATTCAGATTCCTGAATCGTAATGGAAGTATCATGAAAGTGGATTTTTGGTTGGGTTGAGGTGAGGTTTTGTTTTTCATTAAGGTGATTTTTGGAGGATTACTTTGGTGCTTGTGAAACTGTTCATACACAGCAATGCATTGTTAATGTTATTCAAATAATTACCACTTTATAGAGGAAAACTTAACGGTCCTGAGCCCTTCAGATTTTGAAATGGAATTTAAAAGCTGCTGTTACTCTGCAGTGATTCCTTTGGAGCATGGACAGCAGCACAGGAAGGGTTTCTTTGAAGCAATTTGTTTACACATTCAGAAAGCTGCCTATGAGCACGTAACCAACCAGGTTCAAGTGAGTGTTGGACTTCTTAAAAAATGCGAGCTAGAAAGATTCTAAGATCTTTTAAGATAAGCAGATCTTTGATCTTCTCTTTTGTTTTTTTAAATTTTCCTAGATAAGCAAAGCCAGCTCTCAGAATATATTTAAGTCAGCATGCAAGAAAGTACAAAATGAGTCATAGTGAAAACAATTAAAAATATGGTTCTGATATTAAATTTAGATCAAGTTGTAGCAGGCATAAGTTAAACCTTGTACTTGGTGTAGTACAGCAATTCTGGGTATAGTGTATATAAAGTATATAAAGGTGTATTACCAACTCTTGGTATAGTACAAGTATAAAGGTCAAACATGGAAATATTTGGAAGGATTTTTGTCTAAATGGAAGCAAGGAACAGTCCCTTTTGTCTTGAGCTCTGCTGTGTGCTTGTGGTCCCTCTATGTGCCAGAGAGGGACCATAGCTGTGCTTATCTCCCACACAGAGCAGCAGTGCAATTCCAAGGGATGGATCCCAGGGATTTGCCTTCAGGCAGGAGGGCAGGAGCCTCCCTTGCCCAGTGCAGGCAGCACATGGCAGCTGCACAGCAGCATCCCTGTGCTCTGGGGGAAATGTGCACAGACCTGAAACATCCACAAATCATCCAAAGCATGGGAAGCAAGTAGTGAGGGTCTCACCTCCCATGCAGACAGGGCCCTGCCCTTTGGATTTGTGCTGTTTAACTCTTTTTCCTGCTCCAATCCCCTCTCCATTTAGCTGTGCATTTGCAGCCTCTGCAGGGAATCCTGTCACCAGGAGACTTCTGCAATCCACAAGCAAAGTTCATCCAGCAGCAGTTCTTTTCCATGCAAAGCATGATTGTGTTATTAGAGCCTGTGCTACAGGGCATGCTCATCTAAAATCCTGCAACTCTTGAACTCTGTAGTTACCATGGGCATTTTGTCACCTGTGTGGGTCATGACAAGCTCTGCCAGTCACTTTCTGGGAATATAATGAATAAAGAATCATGGATTCCATTCCTGTATAGGTAGGGAGGAGTTGGCAGATGGAGGTTGTCACAGTCACACGTCCTGCAGGCAAAGAAGTGGATTTTAATTCTGCTGCACAGCCCTAGTTAGGAGTTCACAAAGGATTAACAGTTCCTTCTGGGATTGGAGTGTATGCTTTATTAGTTTGGAAATAGAGGCCAAGTTACAGTCTTGTTATTCAAGTTGTCACCCATCCCCAGAAGTTCTCCAGATCCTTTGAAGGCAGAACTTAAAAGCCATTGATGGGAAGCAGATGTTGGTAAACACTTGGTGAAAATAAGGAATGCTCTAAGGAGTTTCATTTTCCATTGGAAAAGAAGAGGAAAAAGAGAGGAGGGAAAGAGAGAGATAATGTGATAGATACAGTCCTTAGTGGTTATAGGAGCTTATTCTTAAGGTACTGGTGAATTACTTAGAAAGGGGCAGAAAGCTGGTGGGTCTGAGTTAGATTGGGGTTTAATCTAAATTACTTGTGCATAATTCTTCCTAGCATTTCTAACTCATGCAGCTTTGATATGAGGGGAATAAGAAATGAGAAATGGTTTTGCAAACAGAAATAATTTAAAGAGATTTTTGGATCCCAAACAGCATCAGATCCTCCAAGTGCTGAGGAGTGGGCTTGATGCTTTCCTGCTCATTACATCAGGAGAGCCTGGCAGGGTTCCAGCATCCTCCAGCTGAGGAAAGCAACAACAGAAGATAACACAGGCTTCCCTGTGGGGATTGTAGGTCACAAATTAAGGTCTTTGTGGTTACTAGAGAGTGAGGAGCTTAAGTTTTAAAAACCTGAACCGGGTCTAAGTTCTGAAAGCTCCAAACATCTCTGTTCCTTTTATAATCCTGTGCCACTGAGTGGCAGCTCACATGGCAGTGTTTTTCTTACTTTGAACTTCCATCAGAATGGATTTGAAAGCAGCTCAGCTTTGGGCTCCTTTAGGGTGCTCATGTGCAAACCTAAAACCCTCTGGTGGGTGCTGAGCCCATGAATAGCCAGGTTCTGGGGAGCAGCCAAGTGATGCTGAGAGAGCTGCCCTCGATTTTCACACAAGGGTGATGTCACTGCTGAAACCCAAATTAGAGCTTCTGAATGCTCAGTGATGAACTGGAATCCCTTTCAGAAAATGAGAATTTGAAAGATTAAGGCTTGTAAGTGGCTCTTAAATGTATATATAAAACCCATAATAATTAATGTGTAATTGGTAAACAACATCTTTTCTGCCTAATATCTTCTTTTTTATCTTTATATGGTTCTAATATTTTGGTTTGCCTGTATTGTGCTCATGTGCTCTGGTATTTATCAGGGACCAACAACTTGAAAGAAAACAATTTCTGCCATCCAAATAGCTATAGGGTTATTTTGAGGGAAAACAACTGCATCCTGCCACAGCTTAGTTAACATTTCACTTTCCCTTGAGGATTTCCTGTTGGCTGTGGCCCAATGTTAATTATGTTTTTATTTCTATAAAACAAAGCTCTGCCAATGTGTCCATGTTTATTACTTACTGGGATCTTTTCATTTCTTGCAATTCTAACAATGTTTAAAAACTTCAGTACTAAAACCTCACTTTCTTGCCAAAGAAGCCTTTAAGTGGAGCATGTTCTGTTATGAAACAACATTTGTGCAGATCTGGGTGGGTTTTAAGGAGCTTTTTACCAGAAGAGCTTAAATCTGTATTATTTTCATGATACAGAAAATAGGAAGTTTTCTCCAAGCAGAACTTTTGAAAACATTTGGCAGGTTCAGTTTTTGAGACCACTCAAAGGTCTTGGTTTGCCTTCCCAACAGCCATGGGGAGTTTTGCATCATTCATTCAAAAATGTAACATTATTCACCTTTAAACTTTCTAAAACAGAATCATTTGGGGTCATAGAAGATAGCACAGAGACAGTAGCACTGGGACAGGAGTATTTACACAGAGGGGAAACAGGTTTGCAATTGAGAAATGCTCCAGAACTTACAGACAGGGTAGTTCTTGCAGTTCACAGGTTATTTTTCCAGCAGCCTTCAGGTTTTATTTACTAATTTCCTGCACTTCATTTTAGCTGTTAAGATAGTTTGGAAAACTTTTTGTAGATTTATTTTGTTTGCTTTTTTGGACTTGTACTATTTTGTGTTAGTGAAGGCTGGCTTTCCCATTATTTGTAATCCCATATTATTTCCTGCTCAGTGCATTTAAAAGCACTTAATATAATTTGGACATGACACATCTGTGGCCTTTAGTTGAAGTTGTTGTATTTCTAAGGGCAACAGAGGAACTGGGGGTTTTTTTGAGGTTTTTACTCTTTAGCATAGCACACTTTGGCTTTTTAATGTATAAATTGTGTTTTAAGGATGATTTCCTAAATTGAATTAAGTAAAGTTTCCAGTAGAGGTTGCATGAAGTCAGGGAGATGTTAACACTCTGCACTGTCCCTGTTTGCAGGCTGGGTGGTGTTGTGGAGATGTTCTGTTTTGTGTTTCATTTGCCTGCAGTTAATCTTTTTCAGCTGCCAGTATGATTTAATACACACAGTTGTCTGCCAGTTGCCTCCTGAGTAGTGAGGCAGAAACTCAAATAAATCCTCTCTTAAATAAAGTTGGCTAGAAAATACCACCAGGAACCTTGAAATAAGCATTTCAGGTGCAACACCAAGGAAGCTGTCATGTTAACTACAGGTTCATTTGGGTACATCTGTGGATCTGCCAGTTTATCTTCTTTACACACCTTAAAATAACCAGAAATGTAAGGTACATTGATCGAGCCTAAACCATGGTATTTTGGTTTCAAATGGAAATAGCTTGAATGAAATAGTGACATTTTGGATTGTTTCAGGAGCTCTCTTTTAATTCAGTGCCTCGTGCTGGTAGAGAAGGAGTTTTCTGAAGCTGCAATACACCAGTGGAGAGGTTGACACCCACTGTGCCATCTGCACTGGCATCAGTGTCTGAGAGAGCTGCAGTAAGGAATAGGACCTAAAATAAATATATCATGCAGGAACATGGTATCAATGCACAGCTCTGGGCCCATCTATTTGATTGTTTTCTCTGCCAGGCAATGTTTGAGTTGTTATTGGCAATGGATGCTGCTGCAGTTTCTGGTAAGGAGAATTCTGTGGAATTCAGTGAGTTCTGCAAGGACTTGTTGCTCAATGAACCATTATTGTTTGCTTATTCCAGTGTATTTCAAGGTGCTGTTAGACACTCCCTTGCCTTTGCCTACCTATTCTGGGTGTCTATTTGTGGAGAAGATGTTGTTCCTGCACTTTGAAACATTTCCAGAGTATTTTTAGAGATATCATTGTGGAGCAAAAAAAGGAAATAATGCTGTGGCAAAGCAGCATCTGGTCATTCACTTAGAAAATACTCCTCTTAATAACATTCATCTCCAATGAAAAGAGAACAAGTTCCTGATTTAGCAGCCTAATTACCAGTGGAATTTTAAAGCAGACTGAATTCTACAATATTTGTGAAGATCTCAGCTGTCATGTAACGGGATGCAATTTTTTTTTACAATTGTAGAAAAATAGGTTAGTGTCAAGTGTCTGTAAGAATTTTGTTCTCTTGCTTGTTGTGCCTCTCTTTGCGCTCGTTTACAAAGTACCTTGAACTCTAGCCGTGATCCAAGTCCTCTCTCCAGAACATCTCTGATAACAATGGCTGTAAATTCAGGTTCCCCTTTTGCTGTGTGGCCAGGTTGCTCTGTAGGCTCAGGAGCCCTGTGGCTGTTGCTGCCACGTTCAGCTGCAGGGCTAAAATCCTGTCAGATGGATTTAAGAGCATTACATTCAAGGCCAGCCAGACTAAAGCTGTTTCTTTGGAGTAGCTTACGTCTTCAGTGAGTTCATGTAATGCTCTGTAGGAAAACAATGGCTTCTACCTGCCATTCCTTGTGCTTTGATTATGGATTCTAATTGCTGTCTTGATTAATTCCCCTTAAAATAATATTTATTAGAATGTAGAGGGTCAGTGATGAGGGATAGGTAGGTAACCATGAGCTGTAATAAAAGCTTTAAGGAATACATTCAGCACAGATAATCTTCACTCAAAGTGGGAACAATCAAACAGCATCTTACTGCCAGGGCATGAGAAAAAGATTTTATGTTTGTAAACAGTGAAAAGGAATTAAAATAGGTTAAGATTTTTCAAGGAAGCAAGGCCCAAGTCAGACTGGGGTCTTGGTCTCTGGAATTCTGGCCCTGGGCAGGGAGGAGCAGCTGCTCCTTGGGACCAGTGTGGTGCTCACTTGGCAGCCTGGTTGCTCCTGGCTCTGGAGAAAACCCCTCTTTCTGTTGTGTTGACAACTTGACATTAGTATTGAATTAAGAAAAAACTCTTAAGACCAAATTTAAGGGATTGTTTTAAACACACATAACTACAATCACTGTATGTACTTACTGGTTCCTGCTCTTTCCAGAGAAACTCACGAGCAAAATTTAAACTTTTTTTGAATTATTTGATGAAGAAACCTTTCCTCTCATCACTGTTCTCCTTGCCTTGCTCCAGCAGGCTGGGGAGAGATGCCTGCTGTCCACACCAAGAGTGAAGCTTCCTGGGGAGAGCCCTCCTCCCCTTCTGCTGCAGTTGATAATGGCACTTCAGCCTGGGGGAAGCCCCCCAGCAGTGGGACTGGGTGGGGAGAGAATCCTGCCGAGCCTGCAGGGACCTATGGAAGAACAAATGCTCCAGCTGCTGCCCCAGCACTGTGCAAACCAGGTACACACAGGGCTGCCACTGTCCTGGCAGGGGAGGGGGTTTGCTTCTGCCACTTGTGCTTTTCTCTGCATTCCAGTCACAGGCAGCCTTTGTGATTTCATTCTCAAAACTGTGTTAGCTGCCACAAGGCCATGTTAATCCAAATACTCAGTTAATTCAGAAATATGAATATGGTGCATCCATCTGGAAATTTAAAGGAGAGTAGTTTTGTGTGTTTGAAAAGCAGCATGGCAGAGGTGCAGGAAACTGTGAAACTGCAGAAGAACGTGACTAGGACTTCAACCCTTGGTGTCTAAAATAAACCTGTATTGGCATGAGAAGCAGTGGAGAACAGTCAGGATAGAATTGATTCTGGTAGGAAAAGCAACACCTGAGACCCACTAATCATAACAACCTCATGTTGGGTTAAACTGAGTGTGTGGGTGTTTTCTTCAGCCATTAAAACTGTTGCCAGGTTCAGGAACATCCTGAACAACTTCCTGCTTCGTGATTCCTAACTCGGGTATTTGATAAATCTCCTCCATCTCTGAATGTCCTGAGGGCCACTGATTGCTTTAGACTCTCCTCTTGGCTGTGGAGGTTGCCTAGAGATTCACTCCTGCAAAATACCATAGTGAGACATAGTTAGAATTCCCAGAAAACATAAAAGGAGGAGTGAGAGCTCTTAAGATGAGTAATCCTAGCTTTAAACAGAGTAAACAGAAAAAAACAGACTGAGGTGACACAACCTCGTCACTGAATGTGAAGTGTTCCTGCAGCCCACAAGCTCCTTTCAGATTCTCCATTCTTCAAGATGGGAATGAGTGTCTGAGCATTAATGACTCTGAAATCTGGTTTGTTCATGGAAGAATGTGGTACGTAAAATGGTGACAATCATTGAAAGCAAAATGGCACTTAATAAATGTGTGCTCATACTTTGGTTCCTTGTTCCTGGGAGAGTGGAGTGGCCATGACCACAGATCTTAATGGTTCTGGGAAAAGCAGGACTTGGAAGTTGCTGGATGTTTTCTTCTCTTAGAGAACTTTCCTTTTTTTTGCTAGCTTCAAAGAAGACATTCTAAGTTGTGTGATGAACCTCTTTGTCTGTTGAAAATGCTCATGTTAGCACAAAAGACTATTTCTGTGAAATTTGCAGGCAGCTGAATAATATTTTTCTTCTCCCACTTTCCCTCCAGCTTCAAAATCTATGCAAGAAGGCTGGGGCAGTGGTGGGGATGATGTGAATCTCAGTACTAGTCAGTGGGAAGATGAAGAAGGAGATATGTGGAATAATACTGCTTCACAAGAGAGCAGCTCCTCCTGTAATTCCTGGGGGAATGCCCCGAAGAAAGGACTTCAAAAGGTAAGACAAAAATAAAGACACTCTCTAGCAAGAGTGGAATTAGTGTAACGTTTGTAGAATAAGTTGTCACAAATTTGCTGGTGCATTACACCTGAAATTAAACCTCTGACACCTGAACACAAGCACAGCTTGCCACTACAGTGGTTCAAGTACAGCCTACCTTGTTTCCAGGGGAAAATGGGAGATCTTTGAATTTAGGCATGTCAGATGCTTTGGGAGTTTTGTTGCATTTGCCTTTGTTTTCTCTAAGTTTTATAAGCTTCCATGTATTCTAAAGAAATGATAATGTATTAACAGAAAGAGAAGAAGGTGTTAAGGGGGCTTTCAGACACTTCCATGGTGGTGGAAAAGCAAACATTGTGATGGAGCTGTTGAACACAAAAAGCTGTTTCCTATTTGTGAGGACGGTGTGTGTGTGTGTGTGTGAGAACAAAGTGAACTTGTGTTAATGCTGCACTCAACCGAGAACGTAGACAATTGTGTGAGGAAATTTTCCATTGCACAGTCTTTATTTCAGGACAAGGCCAGGCTGTAACTTAAAGGAATTGGGAATGCATTTAGCCACTTTGTTTGTTAATCCATTAGCCAACGGTTAGGCCGGTGATTTGATCAAGTATGGTTGTTTCTTGTACTGTCCGCAGCCCAAAACAAATCCGCGCTTGTCCCTTGGTACTTTCTGGAGAACTGAAAAGAAGAGACTTCTTAAGGATATTGTGATAGAAAAGCTGCACAAAGATCTTTTAAAGGTGTTTATCTAGACGCTCTTGTTTGTTTTTAAGAAAATACACTGAGTAACATTCTTAACTTCAAGGTTGCAAACTTGTTTTTGGGAATGTTTTTCAGGAAGTGTTGTACTATTTCAGCTTTATTTCGTTATATTTTTCTGCCAAGGATTAAAATGAAATACGTAAATTCAAAGGTGGCTTTAATTCAGTGGCCAGCAAATCAAATACTAAATAGTACACTGAACACCTATTCAGCTGAGATAAATTTTTACACTTTTGGGGGAAGAGAATCTTAGTCGCGTTGCTCGGAGGGTTCTTCAATACTTTCTGAATTAATGTACTAATACATCTTTCAGTAGCATGTGCTATTAATAAAAACCACTTACCATTTCTTTTATGTACATCTCACTACAATGAACGTGGCAAGCAGCCCATTAATGGAATCTCCCATTTATTTACTAAGGGCATGAAGACATCTAGCAAGCAGGATGAGGCCTGGATCATGAACCGTCTGATAAAACAGCTCACAGACATGGGCTTCCCTGTGAGTAGTGCTCAGCCAGCACACTGTGCTTTAGTAGCTTGTACTTCTGACTGTGGCTGTTTCAGACTGTAGCTACACCAAGATCTTCAGTCTCGAGGCCAGGAAGTAGCTCTGACCTGCATTTAAACACATACTGTGATTTCAGAAATCTGCTCTAAACCTATTCAATGCTCTGAGATGAACTGGGATAAGATTTTGAAGTTCATAGTTTTATAACAACAGGTATTACTTTGAAGTGCAGTAATAATCCCCTCCCATTCCTCTTTTTTCATTAAACAGGTGAAATGAGAGTATAGCTGGGTTGTTTCTTAGAGAAAGTCATATCATTGTGATATTTGAGTTGTTCATGGAAAACAGGAATATGTTTAAACAGAACAATGTGTTTCACCTTGTAGAGCCAGTACTTCCTTGACAAACTGAAATACCTGAATTGTGAGAATTGCTGAAAGCAGGCAAAAACCACACACAGACATTATTTAGGCTGCTGAGTAAACATTAAACCCAGTATTTAAGAGTTGTGTCTGTTTTCTCAGGTTACTTTGAAATCACATGAACGTGATTGCTTTTACTCTTAACGTAATTCCTGTTTTTGACAGAGAGAGCCAGCGGAAGAGGCCTTGAAGAGCAACAGTATGAATCTTGATCAGGCCATGAGTAAGTATCTGTGTAAGTAACTTTTTTGTCTTTCAAGCAACACAGGAACCCTGCATGAATATAAGCATTTGATTATACTCAGACTAATTGGAAAATATTTATTTTTTTGCCTTGCTTTTGTAAGCAAGATGAATTTCTCTGAACTGCTGTTGGCAACTTTACTCCCTCTGCCTCACCTTTTGCAATATATTTTCCTTTTCTGTGCAGGTGCTCTGCTGGAAAAGAAGGTGGAAATGGACAAGCGTGGAATGGGAGTGACCGACTATAATGGAATGGTCACCAAACCCCTTGGCTGCCGCCCACCACCAATCTCCAAAGAGTCTTCCATGGACCGCCCCACCTTCCTTGACAAGGTGAGTTCAGCAGCAGGAGCATGGTGCATAGTGTAAAAATGCTAATGATTTCCACTGTCTGCTTAGAAAGCGTAGAAAGAAATGTGATGGATATGGGTTTGTTCCTTTTCTTGTGTTTTTTCAGTCTCGTGGGGAATTCAGTTCTTGTGGAAAGGAGCAGTGATTTGATTCTCACATAGAAATAAAGAATGATCATCCCCTGTTTTACACTTGAAAACTTGCTAAGGAATCAGTAACATGGTGGAACTAGAAATGGAGGAAAAAAAGAGAAAAAAAACCCCACAGGAATCTATGAGAGTGCAGTCAGTGAACCTTGCCCAAATTCACAATCAGGCAGGACGAAGGCCAAAATCTTCCAAGAAGTAGGCTCTTAATTTCTCTTCTTTTAGTTTTGAGCTTCTTAAAAATTCCAGTGGAAGTTCAGTACCTAAATATGAAGGAGGAGTTCAAAATCTTCCAAGAATTAGGCTCTTAATTTCTCTTCTTTTAGTTTTGAGCTTCTTAGAAATTTCAGTACTTAAATACAAAGGAGGAGTTCAGGTATTTTTGTTAAGTCTCAGAGCAGACATGCACAGTCATAAAAAGCTTCTCCAATGAGCTTCCCTTTCTGTGATCACATATGACAAATTTTCCAGCATTGTTTAATGACTGAGGAAAAGTCAGAAGTTTGTGATGTTCAGGATTCAAAGTGACTAAAGAAGAGAATATATGGAAAAGTGCAGCCAAATCTTCACTAGGAAATCAGATTTACAGCCTTGACAGAAAATACTGGAGGAACTTACCAAATCACCTAAGAATCCCCCTGAAAATTATTGATAAGTAAAGAAGAATCTCAGATGTCATTCTGTATTTCACAGCTTATTTAAAGGTTCATACAGATGAGTGGTGGAGGAATCTGACCACAGAAATCAGTGCTTTTGACAAACTGTGCTGCAACCAATTCATTTCACATGAGCTGTGTACAGGTGTGAGGCAGTAATGAAATCCACTCATATAAAGCTCATTCTTTGCCATGGCAGAATTTAATGAATGTGTTAATTGAAGGCCACAAAAGATGCATGCATGCCAGTTAGCCTTTCCTTTTCTTGGATAACAATATCTTCAGCAGTGAAATTCTTGCCAGAGAGAGAGGTGCATTATGTGCAGCATGATGCATAATTCTGGAAACATATGTTAAACACAACTATTGAGAAGGGAGTACTAAAATCATTAATATTCATACAGTAAGTAAAATCTATCAGTCTAGGCATAATCTGTCACAGTGACTTGGCTCTAACAAAGGAAATAATCCCACACTGTATTTGTTAGCTATCACAGTGTTGAGCAACTTGCTAAGTGAATTAAATAAATATAATTTCTACTCTAAGAACACAGAGTTTTTATTCCTCCAAAGAAATTCTTTCCAGATTTACAGCTCATGCTAGTTAAGCAATTCCTCCAAAACCTTTTTGCCCTTTGAGGTACTGTTTCAGGGCATGAGTCTGGAGCTGTCTTGTTTCTGTTTAGGTCATCCTTGGTGAGGAACAAGCTCTCCACACAGCTGGACAGAGCACTCCAGCCAGCATTCCTTGTTTTACTTACTGCTTTATCAAGTCATCATCCTTTTGTTGAGTCTTCAATAAGTTCTGCAAGGTTCCTCTCCATGAATTTGTAATTTGGGGTAGTATGCTCATTGTTACCACTCTCAGCTCACCTGCATTGAGACACCATCATTTTCTCTAAACAGCTAAAGCCAGCACTTCATATTGTTTTAACTTTATACATTTGAGGAGGGAAAATTTCCAACCCTGACATTTGCCTGTGGACCCAGTGAACTCCCTGTTCTCTCTGCATCAGGAGTGATCTGTGCAATTCAACATCACCTTTGAGTGTTTGCTTTCTCTGCTCGCTGCAGGTGCTCTTTATTCCATGCCACACTGAGTCAATCTTCAGCACTCGGTGCTTTGTTAATTTATTATTCCTCAGGATGTTATCTTGACCTGTAGCACCATAAAAGGACAAGGGAGAATATCCAGTGGCCTTGAGGGAATAGAGATGCAGCCCTGATACGTGATCTCAACCACATTATGTCACATTTGGTGGCAGGCATGCTGTGCTTAGGTGTCAGGTTTGCCTGAAGATGTTACCTGGTGCCTTCTGGAGCCATCAGATTTGTAAGAAAAACATGTCAGATTTCCCTGGAAACATCCTTAAAATACCAGGAATAAGCCTAGAGAAGGGATCTTTTTTTTCAAGTTTAGAGTTTAGCTTGGGACTCTGAAATTCTCACCTTGCAGATGAAGTGTCCTTTTCCCTACCCTCACAGTCAGTGAGCAGCTCCTCTGCTCTACTACTGCAAAATGCAGGTCTGCAAGCCTTGATGCCTCTCAGCATCCAAAAAATCTTCCAAAAATCTTCTGACTAAACCTGTTCCTTGTTTCTGATCTGAACATAGTGTTTCTTGGGTTTTTTCAGCCTCATCCTTCACATTTTGAGCCCAGTAATCTCTGGGAGCTGTGATTGGTTTTCATCTTTGGGACAATAAGGAGAATATTGTGTTAATATGGAGAAACTTTTTTAGATGTCACAGTTAGATAATGATCACTAGGATTTTAAAGTTTTCTTTAAAATTCTTCTTTGCTCCATCTCAGCCACCTGTGATCCAATGACTGAAACCATTTTCATCACCCCTTGTATGATGATCACTTTTTTGACTATTGCATTTCCTCCAGGTTTCTTTTGCCTAATTCCTGTTTGATTTGAAGATAACTTTATTTTAGATAAGATTTTATTACTTTAACTTCCTCTCTTAGGAAAGGATTTTTTTATTTCCATCTTTTTTTTTAAGAAGTCAGTGTGTATTTTCTGCCAGATACTTCTGTAACTGACTTTATACAAAGACCTGACAGATTCATCAGCCTCTCATCTGCCTGTTGAGACATTTTGATTCATGAAGTGGCAGTTGTTGGCAGGTGACTGCCAAAGTGTCCAGGCATCCTCTGCTAAATTGTCCATATCTCATAGGACTAAAAACCTTTGAGTAATTCCACTTACATTCTGTCACATTTGATATGTGAGACTATTGTGAGAGACTTCCCAAATCCTAAAAACCACCAGTGTGGTGCTGCTTTGGGTTAGATAACTCTAGTAGAAAACACCACTACCAGGAGGATTTTATGGGTGTGCCAAGTCCCTTCAAAAAAGTTAAAAGCAGTGCTGGATTGAGCATTAATGTGATGATTCCATTTTTAATTGAGTAGCCTGAGGAAGAAGTGTAACATAAATTTGTAAGAAAATCACTGAAGAGGAAAGGTTAGGTAGAAAAGATTGTTCTTCAGGAAACAATTATTACATAAAGGATCCTGAGAAATAATGGGTCAGAAACCACTGTGAGCAGTAAAATTGTCCTCTAGTCTGGCTTGAAAATGCTAAAGGGTGCTTTAATTTGACCAACTAAAATACTTCATGTTAAATGAATTGATTTTAGTTCAGTTATTATACACAGATTTGTGCAGCACAGTGCAACAAGTTCAAATTAAATAAAATAGAACCAGGTGAATATGAACAAAATGTTATAAACTCACACAAAGCCATTTGCTGCAATTCAGCCAAGGAACACACTTGTGAAGGAGTCTGGAAATGAAATGCCTGGGTCTCCAGTGTGTCCTTCACCATCCTTGGCACTGCCCATTTCCAAATTGAGAAAAAATAATGTCAGTAAGGCAAGACTTGAATAAATTTGGGGGGTAGGGAGGGTTTTTCATGGTCAGTAGGTCTGTTCACATAGGGAACAATGGCATCTGAAGGGGAGAGCGAGCACCAAGCTTGAAATTATTTTCACTTTGAAGGGGGAAGGGTAGAATTGTAAACATGTGTCTGTGATCTAAAGAGAAATCCTTGAACCTGTTACTGTCATGCAAGCTGCAGTTGTTTGTGGAGTGTGACTGATGTCCAGTAGAATGTAAAATATCTCAAGCTGAAAGGCCTTGGGGATATCATTAGAAAATGTCAGTGTCCCCCTCAGGATAGTCAGATAGGATGTCAAGTGTCACTTTGCCTGATAGTAAAGAAACTTTTCCTTTGCATCAAAGGAGAGCTGTAGAAAATGCATTTTTCAGGATTAACTTAAAACATATAATTCACTGAGCATGCTTGCTGCATTAGGTCATCTGTTTGGGTATGTGGTAAGCAGACTGGGCTTCTTTTTCAACAAAGGAGGTTCACCAGTATCTCACAGTCTTCTGAGGCATTGAATTTATTGGTTGAAATAAAGCTCCTCACCTCTTTAAAAAGCCTTTCCTTACAATGATCATTCTGCCTGAAAAACACCAACCCAGCACATTGCAAATTAAAGCTTTTTCTCTCTGCCTATTTTTTTGGAGCTCTACTTTGTACACAGTGTTATTTGATCATGCTTACCCCAGGCTTCCCAGACATCAAAGCACAGTTTGAGATAGAACTCAGTGCCCCACTGAAACACGAGCAGAGATCTACCTGTTTGATGGGGGGTGCTCTAATTTATTTTATTTTCTGCCTTGCTGTTTGCCCCCTGTGGGGGCTGCCTCCTGTGCATCAGATCCACGCTCAGCTGTGGTTCCTCACAGCCCAGTTAGCAGAGAGGGCTCCTCCTGCCTTGCTAAAATCTGCCTCCTCCTGGGGATGTTCAGGAAGGCTGCCCAGCTGATATTGTCATTCCTGGGGTTGATGGTTTGTGTTCACTGGCTGCCTTGCAGTGTAGTGTTTCAGAGTGGGGTATTAATAACTCAGCGCTGTGTGAATATTAAAAGAGGCTCATGTGTCTGAGTTAGGAAAGGGGATTAATGCAAAAATGCTTTTTTAAGAGCAGAGCTATGATGTGGAACCAAATCCAGACTGGTGTCAAATAAGCTGATGTGGCCTTTCCCAAGTTTTGGGTTTGTTAAAGTGCTGGTTTGTGTCTGGAGTTTTCCAGACAGACAGAGGGGCTTGCCTGAAATGTGCTGGGCCTCTCCCCTTCCACCTTTCAGTCTGGTGGAGAAGAAAGGAGAAAACCTAAGTGGGGAGGAGGCCACATGATAGCTCTGCAATCAGCTGCTAAAATCTTCCTTTCCTCTGGAAAGGTGGGTGAGGGTGATTGTGCATTTGGGGGATTAAGTACAACAAAGTTACCAAAAACAGTACCTTAATCCTGTTTCTCTCTTTCTTCTCCCTTCACTCCATGCTTTCCATTCCCTGTTACTCATCCCTTTCTTTATGTATCTCTTTTTACTCATCCTCACCCTCCTGTGCCTCCATGGGACTCTGGTTGGTGCTGTGGGCTCCTGGCACGCACACAGCTCACCCTTTCTTTCTCCAATCAGGATGGCGGCCTAGTGGAAGAGCCCACTACTTCACCATTTTTGCCTTCACCAAGCCTGAAGCTCCCCCTTTCAAACAGTGCACTCCCTAATCAGACCCTGGGCGGGATTGCCTCAGGGCTGGGCATGCAAAACTTGAATTCTTCTAGACAGGTAAGGCTGTTGAGGGAGATCCCAAAGGGAATTTGGCTCTCTTGGAGTAGCTGCTAGTGCCTGTCAGCCTCTTTCCCAGGATAAACAGGTTTAAACTGGAGGTGCAACAGCTTTGTTCATGTGAAATATCAGAGAGGAGCTGCCTGCTGTGTAAATGTTTCACCTTACAGGACAGAAAAGAACTGTGTAGTTGTAATTAGCCTGCTGATGACACAGATCCATCCAGAAGAGACTGTAGTGTTGTGGATTTATACCCCTGAACCCTGGTGTGGCTCTGCCTCCATTGATGAGAAATCTCTTTTCTTGAGGCATTGCTAATTGTCCCAGACTGTAAGGCAGGGAGATTGCTCTAATTCATCTTTCCTGGCTGGTATAAATATTCTGTGATGAGATGGGGCTTTTTTATTCCTGCTCCAAGTGTCAAGGCATCTCAGAGTTTTAACAGGTGATAAGAAAGAAACTGGGCTTCCAGCACCTGGCTCAAGTAGAGCATTGAGTTAAGGGGTTGTTTTGGCCTCTGTGTAGAACAGGTGAGAGGGAAAGAAAAGGAGAGGAAGTGAAGGGTGTGATAACTGATAACCACCATGAGAGTGAGAAGCCATTATGTACTGTTGATTATGACAAGGTTATTTTTGCCATCAAACTGAAGTCCCAGCAAAGATATGAAATAACAACACAGAAAAACTTCATCATTCTGTTGTGGTTCTTTATTATGTATATTTTTTTAAAGTCAGTTTTCTTAAGGCAATACTTGTCCAGCACTTACAGCCCATTAAGCACAGCTTTCCAAAGCAGTCTCCACTAATAGCATGTCCATTATCAGTAGCTTTGTAAAATGACTAAGTAAAAAAACTGCTTAGCCAGCTGGAGGATGGGGTTACTGTGAGTTTAATGCCTCCATTCTCCTGTCCCTTACTACACAAATACAAACATTTTTGGCAAGTACTTTTGATTGTTCATCTTGTGACCCTCTAGGGTCCTGCATCCTTATAAAAACCATCTTCAACTTCAGCTGCCTTTTGTTCAGGCAGCTGTACAAAGTTTTGGGGGTTTGGGGTGTTGGGTACACGGCAATCTTTGCCTTGCCCAATTCTAAACTTTGTATGTGCTGGTCTCTTGATTCCTGCCTGTCATAATCACTGAGAATAAAGCCTGCACAGACAAGTAGCAGCCAGGTTGTGTCACTAAGTGCCTGTGTCACTGTTGTCCTGCTGCAGATACCGAGTGGCAATCTGGGTATGTTTGGCAATAGCGGAGCAGCACAAGCCAGGACCATGCAACAGCCGCAGCAACCGCCAGTGCAACCTCTTAATTCATCCCAGCCTAGTCTTCGTGCTCAAGTGCCTCAGTTTCTATCCCCTCAGGTCAGACAACACCTCACTCGTGTTTTCCCTTTCCCTGGAACTCTTCCCATGTGCTCTGTCATGCTGCTGCCTGGCTGTGTCTGTGTTATTTGTTTGTTTCCTAGGCAGGAAGATGGGGCATGGCTGAGGTGTTCTCACATGCATGTCATATAATTGCCTCTGAGAGCACATTCTTGTCCTCCTTTTTGCACAATGGTGTTTCTGAGGCATTTGTTCTCATCTCTTTTTTTATAAATGAACACTTGAGTACGGTTATTATGATTGTATTAGAGCCTCTTGCTAATTTTTTTGGTAGTTCATGGTGATAATAACATTTTCCAGCTGATGTGACTTTTATTAATGGCTCACACAGTTACCACTGTTAGAATGAAATGTACAATGTTTAACACTCTTCTCTCCTTTAGGTTCAAGCACAGCTTTTGCAGTTTGCAGCAAAAAACATTGGTCTCAGCCCTGCACAGTTAACCTCGCCAATTAATAATCCTCAGCATATGACGATGTTGAACCAGCTCTATCAGCTGCAGCTGGTAAGTTAAAAGACATGGCAGATAAGCTCTAAATCAGAATTGAAGGCATGAAGATAAAATAGGAGAATGACTACATTTTTAAATGACATGACAGATCTTCAAAACAATCAGCTGCTGATTTCTTTGGTAAAGTTTCTTTTTAAAGAAGCACAGTAATTTTTTTTTTTTTGCCTCAGGCTTTATAAATAGTCATTTGTGGAATAATTATCCTTTACAGCTGATCAGTGGAACTAAAAATCAGCTGTCTTCCTACTGGTGTGAATAACACAGTGTGTTCTCAAACAGCACTGGCCTGTGTGTTACATGTCAGTGGAAAGATTAAACTGGACACATGTGTCACAACAGAAAGAGAAATCTTGGCAGTGCTGGTCACCTGAGCTACCTACAGAACTTCTTCACTTGCCTCACTGAAAAATAAAGCTTAGGGTGAATTTCCTTTATTTAATGGAGTGTATATTAAACACATCATGTGATAAGAGCTGCTGCTTACTTCTGTGTACTTCTGCCATGTTTGCAAATTTTACATCTGTATTTTTAATGCATATGAAAATACTTAATTGGATTTTAAGAATATTTTAAAAAGAGATATTGTGAACTCAGTATTGGCCAGGGTTAAACATAAAAATACAGATGACAGATTAGTTCAGTTGCTGATCTCAGTGTGCTAGTCAAACTCTTTTATTCAGTGTTTGATACTATTACTCATTTCTGATTATTTTCTCTAGTTTTGAGGAGCACAGCATTATTTTCATAATAATAGAACAGTACCCAGCTACTTGAAAAATACAGAATTCCTTTGGATTTTGAATTTATCAAAATGTTGATGAATTCATCAAAGTGTTTCAGAGAAACTTACCTTGCCAAAGAATTTGCTGCCAAGCCAGCGACCTGAAAATTGTGGATTTTTTTCAGGAGTAAAGCAGCACAAGTGATTTAGCTAGAAAGTGTTGGCAGAACTCAAAATGGCCAAACCAAAACCAGCAATCAGTATTTATACTATTTGTATAATATCATAAACTTCTATTTTAATTTTTGCTTTGTGTTACAGTTATTTCAGAAAAAAGTAGGTTCCTCTCTTTAATGACAGCTTTTTGCCATGTGGACTTATTAGTTGTTTTTGTTTTAAAAATGAACTCGGGACTTAAATAAATGCATTTTAAAATGCATTTGCAACAGGATTATTACTGTTGCTTGGTGGAGTGTTTTCAGAGCACTGCAGAGTTGGCCTTTTCTGTGCTGTGGTGCAGCAGAGCAGCTGGAGGGAGCGTGCTGAGTGTGCTGTGTCTGACTGTCCCTGTCCCCACAGGCATACCAACGTTTACAAATCCAGCAGCAGATGTTACAGGCTCAGCGTAACGTTTCCGGACCCATGAGACAACAGGAGCAGCAAGTAGGTGTCCCTGCCAGCCCCATCTCTGCTTTCAGGAGCTTGGAGAGGCTCAGTGACATTACAGCAAAGCAGCTAAAGCATCCTTAAATCAGGGATGCAGTGTGAGGCTTGAGGGCAGGGCAGGGAGGGTGCTGAGTACAAATAAAATAAAAAATAAAGCTTATAAATTAAAAATCAAAAAAATCCACAGCCTTGCTGGAGGAAAGCTCTTCAGCCCTTTGCACAGGCAGTTTGTATTTGTAAGGAGATGCAGTGTGTTGTTTCACTGTGGACAAAGGCAGAGGAGTGCAGTGCTTTTGTGGATTGCCCAGTGACGGGTGTTTGTTGTTATAGCAAAGCAGCTAAAGCATCCTTAAATCAGGGATGCAGTGTGTGTGCCTTGAGTGCTGGGCAGGGAGGGTGCTGAGTAAAAATAAAATAAAAAATAAAGCTTATAAATAAAAAAATCAAAAAAATCCACAGCCTTGCTGGAGGAAATCTCTTCAGCCCTTTGCACAGGCAGTTTGTATTTGGAAGGAGGTGCAGTGTGTTGTTTTACTGTAGAGAAAGGCAGAGTGTTTGTTGTTACAGCAAAGCAGCTAAAGCATCCTTAAATCAGGGATGCAGTGTGTGTGCCTTGAGTGCTGGGCAGGGAGGGTGCTGAGTAAAAATAAAATAAAAAATAAAGCTTATAAATAAAAAAATCAAAAAAATCCACAGCCTTGCTGGAGGAAATCTCTTCAGCCCTTTGCACAGGCAGTTTGTATTTGGAAGGAGGTGCAGTGTGTTGTTTTACTGTAGAGAAAGGCAGAGTGTTTGTTGTTACAGCAAAGCAGCTAAAGCATCCTTAAATCAGGGATGCAGTGTGTGTGCCTTGAGTGCTGGGCAGGGAGGGTGCTGAGTAAAAATAAAATAAAAAATAAAGCTTATAAATAAAAAAATCAAAAAAATCCACAGCCTTGCTGGAGGAAATCTCTTCAGCCCTTTGCACAGGCAGTTTGTATTTGGAAGGAGGTGCAGTGTGTTGTTTTACTGTAGAGAAAGGCAGAGTGTTTGTTGTTACAGCAAAGCAGCTAAAGCATCCTTAAATCAGGGATGCAGTGCATGCATTGAGTGCAGGGCAGAGGGAGTGCTGAGTACAAATAAAATAAAAAATAAAGCTCATAAATAAAAACTAAAAAAAATCCACAGCCTTGCTGGAGGAAATCTCTTCAGCCCTTTGCACAGGCAGTTTGTATTTGGAAGGAGGTGTGCAGTGTGTTGTTTCACTGTGGACAAAGGCAGAGGAGTGCAGTGTGTTTGTGGATTGCCCACTGACGGGTGTTTGTTGGCTCTCTTCCTGCAGGTTGCACGTACAATCAATAACATGCAGCAGCAGATCCAGCAGCACCAGCGCCAGCTGGCCCAGGCCCTGCTTATGAAGCAGCAGCCTCCCCCTCCACATCTATCTTTGCACCCCTCTGCAGGCAAATCAGCCATGGATAGCTTTTCACCCCATCCCCAGGCTCCCGGCCTTCCTGACCTGCAGACCAAAGAGCAACAGTCTTCACCGAACACCTTTGCTCCTTACCCTCTTGGTGAGTGTCCTCCTGCAGCAGCTCCTCACTGGGAGCCCATCTCCTCAATTTACACCTCAATATTTTGCTCCACACTGTGACAAATACATCTATCTATATATATTTATGTATCTCTCTCTATATATATCTATATATATATAAATCTATATATATCTATCTATCTATAGATATATATATAGATATAGCTATTTAGATAGATATATAAATATGTAGATATAGAACAGATATATATATAGATAAAATATATAGATAGATAGATAGATATAGATGTATCGAGAGAGAGAAATATATATAATTTTAATTTTTATATATACATATATGTGTGTTTGGTTTTTTGTTTATTAAATAGCACTGAAATCACAGAACAAAGTCATACCTTTGTGGTGGCTGTACCTGCTCACCTGTGTTCTGCCTACAAATATCAGAATATTTGCCTAATTAACTACTTATATATCACAGAATAATGAGGTTGGAAGAGACTTCTGAGATCGAGTCCAACCCATGCCCTATGTTGCTATTTATGAACTGAATATAAACCAGCATCATGTTGTAAAATACACAGATGTCATATTGATAAACAGGAATATGATCTGGGAAAATGTGCAAAGTCATCTTTCTGCTGTAATCAGCACTGTGAAGGATCAGTTTTGGTCGATGTATTTCAAGAAATACGTGGATCAGTTTGAAGGAATGCAGAAGGATTGTAGTGGAGGTGATTAAACGTTTCAAAAACACAATTGGTAAGGAAAAAAATGAAATCCTCTGCTCAGAAGTCTAAAGAGAAGATTTAAGAATCTTCAGAAATGTAAGGGAGAGCTAGGAAGGCATTTTCTTGCATTTCCTAATGCAAGAGGTAATAAACTTAAGTTGCATAAAAGAAGATCTAGTCAGAACATTAAGGATCACTTAAGCAGAGTAGATACTGGAATAAATTATTTAGGAAGTTCCTGAAATCTTTACCAGCATTTTCTGGTAGGTTAGACATAGATCTGTCAAATATGATTGAAGTCAAAATAATTGATTGGGCCTGGATACAGAGGGAACAGAGCAACCTTTCAGACCTGTTTGCTGTGTGATTGTTTGATGTATGCTACAGACTTCCTTTTTGACATAAAGGAATTAATTTAATCTCTTTGTGACTCTCTTTATGCTGAATACAATAGCATTGCCAAGCTTTATCTGCCATGCAGCAGTTAAGAAGGTAATTCTGACTGCTGTGGTGAGCTGTTGTGGCTGAGAGCATCAGAATGCAAAAAAATTTGTGAATTAAAGGCCTAAGTCTGAGAGGTTCTTATGATATCTCAGCTTTCTGTGATCTGCTAACATTCAGGATTATATATCAAGAAAGACCCAGATTCATGTCACAGAAGCATTTCAAAATTATTCCCTTAATAACAGTCTGAGTGATTCTGTTCTGTGTATACAAAATAGAAACCAGTTAGTGCAGAACCTGCTATGAAAAACAGCAGCTGTTTTTCTGACCTTTAATTGCTTCCTTTTTTAGGGGATTTTTAGCAAAATGAAGTGGCAGACATTGTGGGGGGATGATGGGGAGACATGAGGAATATTTTGGCTTAGCCATGGAATGGTGCAGACTGGTTTAAACTCAACATTCCAGTGCATTCTTCCAAGAAAAGTGAAGAGACTGCAAGTAGAAACACTGACAGCTTTAAAATATTATCCCTACATCTTGTTTCCCCCTCTTTTTACCAAGGTTTTAACTTTCTTCTGAATTCATTGTAGTTCTGTTAGTGTTCCATAAAAGCAAAAATTCTTTAAAATGTGCATTGAAAATGCCACACATGCATACAGATACCTGAAAATCAATATTGAGTAATTCCTGTGACTGGATTTCAAACCCAGCTTTTCAATCCCTCAGTGTATGATGGATTTCTAAGGATCTCTTTCCCCCCCAGCTGGACTGAACCCGAACATGAATGTAAATAACATGGACATTACTGGTGGTTTGTCAGTGAAGGACACTTCTCAGTCCCAGTCTCGCCTTCCTCAGTGGACACACCCCAACTCAATGGATAATCTGTCTAGTGCTGCTTCTTCTCTTGACCAGAACTCCAGCAAGCACGGTAATGTCCCCTGGCACTGTCCCCCCCATGTCCCCCTGCCTTGCCTGGCTTTTGGTGATTCCAGCCACAGTGCAATTGCAATTATTTCTCTCGTGTTCCTTTTTTGTGTAAGTGCTTACAAATGCTTGGTAGTCCCTCTGAGATTTCATAGATGGTTTCTGCAGTGAAGGGCTTGCAGCTGTCACTCCCTGCATGCAGTGTAGGAATGTATTTTTCATGTGTTGAATTTTGTTGCTGAGAACATGGAGTTCAAGTAAAACAAGCCTTAAGTGTTGGCAAAACAAGTCCCACAATCTTCCCCTTATTCCAGACCTACATACCTTCAATCCAAAAAAACTTTACATTGGCTTTCTCCCACAATTTTTCCAGTATTATCAACCTTTCCTTGTGCAAAGTGTGATGGATTACATAGTTACTCAGCCTAGAGTTAGGGGCAAAAAATTCTTACTTTTCCAGAAGTGATTGCTAATCTGTTTGAACACCTTTATCCTTAACGCCTCCAGTATCCTGAGCCAGCTATTCCTTTATTTCCTGTATCAAATTTATTCTGTTAGAACACGGGGCTCTGTTAACTTTATTATATCCTGGATTTTATTCTGAGCAGCATGAATTACTTCTTTTACAGCAGTTTTTTATTCTGCAAGTAGCTGCACTGCTGATGCCAAATTGTTGTTTGATAGTTTGTAGGAACATGAGAACAGCCATTTCAAATCATCCATCCTGTCAGCACTGAATGCCTGGGGAAGGATGAGATGAGGGATATTCCTTGGTATGCTGCCTCAGCAAGTTCCTATTTACCAACAGTGTGATGATTTGAATTACTTAGTCTCTTTTTGGCAGGAATTTAATGCAGAATTCTTTAACTTGAGTATCTAGATTGTACCAGCAACGTGTCTCTCATCTGTAATCCCTGCTAGGGCTTCAGATGCCATTAAGCTTGGCTTACTGCATTTGCATTTTAGTTTTCTTTTTATCTTTGTAATACAGAAAGAAAAAAAAAAGGCAAATAATAACAAAACATATCCTGCTGGAATTCCATCCTACAACCTCTCTTTGACTCCTTGCAGGTGCTATCCCTGGAGGTTTGAGTATTGGTCCTCCGGGCAAGTCCTCCCTCGATGACTCCTACGGCCGCTATGATCTGATGCAGAACAGTGAGTCTCCTGCCAGCCCACCTGTAGCTGTTCCTCACAGCTGGTCACGTGCCAAATCCGATAGTGATAAGATTTCCAATGGCTCCAGCATAAACTGGCCACCAGGTAACTCAATCCAAGCCTTGCTGCTGGGCTGGTGTCCCTCAAACGTGTTGTTGAGTCCTCCTGATGTGTAGGAGTGTGGCATTCACACTCTGAAAAATCCCTTTGCCCGGGGTTTTTCTCCTGGGAAGCTGAGAAGCCTCAGAGAAAAGGAAAACAATTATCTCATTTGCTTCTCCTGTGTTTTGCTCATGTGGAATGTGTTTGGTGAATGTTTCATTAGTTTCTGCTGTGAATTATTTTGACTCATTGGCCAATCATGGCCAAGCTGTGTCAGGACTCTGTAAGGAGTCACAAGTTTTCATTATTATCTTTTTAGCATTCAGTAAGCATCCTTTCTGTATTCTTTAGTATAGTTTAGTATAGTATTCTTTAATATAATACAGTATTATAAAATAATAAATTAGCCTTCTGAGAACATGGAGTCAGAATCATCATTCCTCCCTTCATTGGGGCACCCTGTAAATACAACACAGGAGCTTTGGAGAATTACAACCTCACACATTTCTCTTTTTATTGTGTTGGAAACAGAGTTTCACCCAGGAGTGCCATGGAAAGGACTGCAGAATATTGATCCTGAAAATGACCCTGATGTTACTCCTGGCAGTGTTCCAACTGGGCCTACCATAAACACCACGATACAGGATGTGAATCGCTATCTGCTCAAGAGTGGAGGTAAACAACAAACTGCTTCCACATCTGTGCATCATTTCTTTTCCCTTCCAAAAAAGGGTTGCCTCATTTGTTAAAGATTAACATATTTTTGCATGTGCTCCTAATCTAATAATGCTTTTGCTCAGAACTGTCACTGAATATCCAGAAATAATTGTTTTAAAAGAAGGGATTAAGAAGTTTCTTGTTTTCCATGGGAATGTAGATACTTTTATATTGGAAAAGGCTGTGAGATGTAATTTAAACTCCTGTGGTCACTGGAAGTTTCTCTGACCTGTATCACAAGGTTTTGAACAATATTTTGCTCTCCACACTGCCCACCCTCCTCCATACTTTGTGAAATTCTCAGAAGACTCAATACAAAGTTCCACAGTGTTGCTGAGACAGCAGGCTTCTGGTACATTAATTAATTGTAGCTTTGTTAGAAGATCAGTAAGCAAAATAAATTAGAACTGGTTTATCTCCAAAACCATAAAAGAAAAAAATTGGGAATTGACTAGTAAACTAGTATTTCCCAGTGCTATTTCCATTCCTTTTGTCTTGGCAGTGCTTTCTTCAGAATAAAAAGGGAATTCTATTAAACAAGAAAGGATTGTGACTGTGCTACTTGTTAGCCACATGTGCTGGAAGTTGATCAAGGGAAAGGTGGCTTGGTTAATTGTGATCTGAGTGCCAAAATAGCCAAGTTATCTGCACTCTGTCAGAGCACTGCAGTTGGCACAGGAATAGCATAACCAGGCTGTCCAGAAGGACCTGTCAGGAGTGAAAATGTGGGGTTTGTTTTAACACTTACATCTGTGATACCAGCACAGATTGTAAATCTGTGACTCCCTTGAAGTGGGGGTCCAGCTCTGGGATTCTTACCTCAGGTAAGGGATGTGAAACATGAGGGAAAGGAATGCAAAGTTGTTGATTTTGGTTGTCTCTTAGCAAGAAGCAGCCTTTCTTTCAGCTGAAACATGAAGTATTTGGCTAATGAGTAAGGTTGAATTAACTTGAATGACTCCAAAGTGCTTCCAAGGGGACAGGCAGGTTTGAAGTTATAAAAAGAAAAGCTGTAAAATGTTTAATTCAGTGACACTTCAAATAGAGTTCACCCAAGAAATATTCCTCAGGCCAGAAGCCTAAATGTACAGAGCTCTACCTGTAAAATCAGATGAGATCCACTACAGGTCTTGCTGCTTTAGAGGAGGAACATGAGCTCTGTGGGTGCATAATCTGCCTGTGGAATGAAGAAATAACTCCTCTCCTTAGAGAGAGTCAGCAAAGATGGTCTTAGCAGAAGTAAACAGGCCCTCAAGAGGTCAGACCTTCTTAAAACCAGTGCCTCTGGGGGGTCAGTGTGTGCTTCTTTTCCCCATTAGCTTTTTAGCTTGGTAATAATACAATTTTAATAAAAACTCTAGTTGCAGAATCTGTTTCTTTCTGCTTGTATAACTGCAGCCTGAAGCACAGAGCTTGTGCTGACAGACAGAGCTGCTCCCCAGGTAAAGGGTCAGGCTGTGGGGTGTGCTGTCCTTGCCCTGTACACTTAGAAGCAGGTAAAACTTCAGCTTTTGGGTCGATTTTTGCTTTGCCCTGTTTGCTAATGAAGCTTTGCAGGCTCAGCTTCTATGAGCTGAGAGTTGTAGCCACAAGGAATCAAGACCATTCTCAACTCTGTGAGCTTTTGAATCTGCTGTAATTCCATATTCCATATCTGCTATAACCCTAATTCCATAGTTCCTGCCTGGGAATAGATTATTTCCAGACAAGACCTGATACAGAGTTCTGTTCCCTTAAACTGATGTCTGCATCAGTGTCCCTTGGAGCACAGGGAGGCTGCTTTAGGTGAAGTTTGGTTGGTTGCTGTTCCAGTTGAAAACAAAGCCTGTGGTTTTTATTGAGCTGTGAGGGATGAGATTGTCCTTTTACTTCCTCCCTTCTACCTCAACACAGTGCTCTTTGCTACAGAGCTCATCTATTTTTATTAGTCAGTTAAAGATGTTTCAGTATCACAGCCCATCTCTGTGTGTCAGGAATGATAAGTCACCCAGGATACACACTTGATTTTGTTGGTGGCTAGAGAGAATCATTCCAGCTCTCCTGGTCTTTGCAATGAAGATTTTTGATTTTATGTTCAGTTTCTTTCATTTGCTGCCAGTAAGGAAATTGTGCATGTGCTTAGATTATAAATGATTTACTGAGGTGGTTTTGTGCTATTTCATTTATGTTATCAGTTTGAGAAGAGATTGCTGAAATATATCTTCGCTTTTACTGAAAGTCTGCAAAAATTTAAAGATACTTGTGGGCATTAGGATGTAGGGGAAGTGTTTACCTTGAGTAATTTAGGACAGATCACCCGTGGTAAGAGGTTAATTTATCATACACATCTCTGCTGATCTACAATTCCCATTGCCTAAGTCAGCTGGCAGAGGACATTTATAATTGAAGCCTGTTCCTCTGAGACTAAACACTTTAACACTGACTTTTTGAGTCATGTATCTTAAAGGAAATGCAGAATTTACCTTCTGCACTACAACTGTTCCTGTGCCAGCTTTCTTCTCTTTCCTCCTACTTTATCATGCTTCCAGCAACATTTCATTCCTAGACTTCAGAGACCAGGCTGATTAAGGAGAATGCCTTGCATGGTTTGTATTTGCACATAACAGATTTGCTTATTTCACACCAAACATCATTATGCCCATCTTTCTTAGTTGCTTCTCTGCTGGTTCTGCAGGGTCATCCCCAACATCATCTCAGAATGCCACGCTGCCTTCATCGAGTGCCTGGCCGCTTAGTGCCTCCGGCTACAGTAGCTCTTTCAGCAGCATTGCATCTGCACCTAGCATTGCAGGTACGGCCTTTCTGCTTCCACAGCTTCTGCATTCCCAGGAAAAGGCCCTAGGGAGTGCTTTTCCAGTGCTTGCAGGAGTGCTGCCCCAGGCACAGGTGTGTTTGGAGCCCTGTGCTGCGTGGCAGCTCTCCTGGCAGCTCTGCGGTGGGGAGTGGTGCATGGTGAGCCTGGGACTGTGCTGAGGAAAAATGGATTTATTCCACCTGGTGCCACTCTGGCATGGAGATCTGTGGGGGAGGAACACTGCCCAGGGCCTCAGCAGGAACAGACCCTTTCCAGGAAGAGCTGATGTGAAATTTGTGTAAAAAACTCACTGTTAAAAGTGAAACACCTTCAGCTCAGAAAAAGCTTCAGCAGTACCTCCAAGGGGTGCTTTTTACATGGCTCTTGGGGTTTGTTTTGGGGCTCTTCAGTGTCTTTTAATAGTCAGGCCAAAGCCTGATGCTCCCCTCGATGGGTGAGCTAAATAATTACCCCATTTTCTTTACTGAGCTCTAAATTCTGGAGCTTCTTTTTACAAAACATGGAAACTTTTCTTGCAAACTGGCTACCTAAATATGCAGTTTGTCCCATTATAAATTTTTATTGGGCTGTATAGGTGGATTAGATAAGAAGATGCTGATCCACTGAAACCCCTCCACTTCTCTGAGGGTGCAGCCTCTGGGTCAGGCTACAGAATGCAAAACAAAAAGAACTTGCTTGGGATGTTTTCCTCCAGTGAAAAGAAAAGAAAGGAGTGGCTTGCTTTTCTTTATCTGCCATGCATTTCTGCTTTATTTGCTGCCTTGTTTTTGGTTGTTTTTGCAGTGTCATCTAATGTTTGTGTTACCTCCATGACAAGTAGTGACATAGCAACACCTGGCCTGTGGTGCTGTGCCTGTCTTGGGTGCCCCAGCACAGGCTGGGCTGCTCTGAGCTCTCAAACTCAGACTTCCTCCTCTCCTCTCACCATTTTACCCTCATTAATGTCCTCATTGTCATTGTCAAATTATTTCTGTTGCTACAATTTGCTAGAAGATGGGAGAGTGGTTGCCCTTTCACTTAAATAGTTATGATTCAATATGAAATAATTGAGTTAAATGATTTAGATAAATGGAGGCAATCTGGGGAATGTGTGTGTATGTAACTGAGTCTGGGATTTTGCAACTGGTAAATTTGGCTTTGGGATTCATAAAATTAATCAGTGCCTGCCTGATGTCTTGAATCACTGAAACTTTAAATCTGCCAGTTCTAGTTTTATAAAAATTCACAAGCTCTTTGCATCGTGAACTTTATCAGACCATTTTTTTTTATTCTGTGCAATCAGCATTAAAACATTGGGGCAGCACAGTCACAGCATCATTTGCTGGGGCAGAAGATGCAGGATTTGTGTCCCTTTCAGTCCATTCCAGCCCTCCATGTGCTGCCAATGCTGGTAACAGCAGGACTGTGCTGTGACAGGGAAACTGAGCTCTGATTGCACAGCACATGTTGGTATCAGGAGGAAAGGCTAAAGGTGAATAAAGATTTGTTTTGTTATCCATTATTGAAATCAATTCAGTCTGCCCTTCTGAATGCTGTACTGTGTCTACTGTTCTTGAGTTTGTGTTATTTTATAAAACTTTGAATTGGCAGTTAGAGCAGTAAGAGTTTGAAAACTGATCAGGGAAAAAACAAGCAACAGCAGAAGGTTATAAAGACTGAAGGGTTGTGGTGTGGTCTGACCTTCTGAGGACTTAGTTTTTCTCAAAGATACTTGGAAAAAAGAGTATAGGTTACTTCAAATATTCAGAAATAAAGTTTTTGTTGGTCTTTGATCTTTAGAGTTTTAATAATGCATCGGAAGAACATATGGATATACTGAATTCTTTATATTAGGTAAAATGAGTTGTGGAAGAAAAAGTGTTTAAGTCCTGTTAAACCTTTGAGAGAGACAATCCTGAAGTGTTTCATTATAATTCTGGTGAAATCAGATTGCAAATACCAATGTCCATTTTCTGGACTTCTTTCCATGTATCATCTTTTACAAGAAAACAAACCAACAGATTTTCAAAAGGGAACTTACATGTAGCAGGTAGTGTGAGGTTCAGTAAACACAAAAGTACTGAAAATTGTGAGCAGTGGTTTAAGTAGGTTCAAATATAGGATTATTCAAATATATTCAATATAGGATTTGTATGACTGGATGGTTCAGAAAGTTGTTCTTGTCCTGCTGAGAAGCTGGGAGGGTGTAGCCCAGGATGCCCATTGGTGAAGAACACCCAAACACTGTTTTTCTGTTGCAGGTAAACTGTCAGACATCAAGTCCACGTGGTCCTCTGGCCCAATCTCTCACACCCAAGCCTCTCTGTCCCACGAACTCTGGAAGGTACCCAGAAACACTACAGCTCCAACCAGACCTCCTCCAGGCTTAACCAACACCAAGCCATCCTCCACGTGGGGTGCCAGTCCCCTGGGCTGGACCAGCTCTTCTTACTCCTCTGGTACTCACTGCTCTCTTTTCTGCCTTCTTTTCAGCATTGTTTGCTTCTACTCTGCCTGTGAGGCTCCAGAAACCAGAGCTTTAACACAGCTGGAGTGTTCTGTGCTGGGGATGCATCTCCTGTCTCTGTATTTCACTTTGAATAAGTTGTAAATGAAGCATCTTTCAGCTGGTCATGGTGGTGATTTTACATAGGAGTTGTTCAATTCCTTTAACTCCCAGCTAGGGTTTTTTTCTCTAGTTCCTTAATTTCTAAAAATGTCTTTCAAACATGTGTCCTGTTCTGTGGTGTGGTCTAAGACTCCAAGAGGAGCCTGTGGAATTTAATATGGAACACATGGATGTGAAGCATTTAGGACCTGATGGCATTTCAGGGCCCTCAGGGAATGCCTGAATTTTTTCATGCTGATCCCTTTTTTTATATGCCTTTGTTTGCTTTAATATTAATATAAAAAACCGTGGATCTGGCTAAATATATATATCTATATTTAGATATCTCTATCAATATAAATATAGACATATATGCAGATATTACTTCTATTTTATAAAGCTGTTTTAATAATCTGATTACACTAAGTTGAGAATTAAATTCTTCCCTCTTTCTGCCATTTATTTTGAATGTTTCTTCACCAAACTTCCACCTGGAAGGGCAGATAAAGCTGCTCCCAGGATTCTCTCTGGAGCACTTGCAGGATGCACTGTGACTCTCAAATGCCACTCATAAATATCAAGCTTGTACAGATTCTTACTGTAAAGCACCAGGCTGAGGTTGTTAGGGCAGGTTTTTTGGTTATGTTCTTGTATCTTCAATCAGAATATTGTCAGTGCAGAAATACCTGTTTTGAATAAGTCATACACATTAATCTGTCATTGACAAGAGAGCAGAGTGCTGCAGTGCTATAAAAATCTTTATTAGCAGGCAGCATTCTGAGCCTGGACATCAGAACTGCTTTTAAAATGTGTCTTCCAGATTAATTCTAATGCATCCTGAGGATCCAGCTTGTTGCAGTGCCATACCTGCATCTGTTAGTTCCCTAATATTTATTCTGGGAGTATGAAAAATGCCACAGATCTCTGAAAAGTAACAAGAGCAGCTTTTCATTCAGCAGCCTTTCCTTCCAAGGGAGGCAGTAAATCAAGATGTGAGGAATTGGAGGATTTGTTTTCAGCAGCACTGAGGCTTGTTAGTGTGTTGTGATTCCAGATGAATTTGCTGTAAGGTGCTCTCCAGAGACCTTGATGAAATGTTTTGTTGTGGGATTTGTGTTGCAGGTTCTGCATGGAGTACTGACAGCTCAGGGAGAACAAGCAGCTGGCTGGTTCTTCGGAACCTCACCCCCCAGGTAACTGCAACTGTGCAAAGCTGGCCAGGAAAAAACACTGCCATTTAAGAGATGATCAGAACAGCATTCAGCAGCCTTGGCCATCTGATTCATTTGAAAGAGGAATAATTATTGTGCATTTATCACCTGTCTTCTACAGGGCATTTGTTAAGTTTTCAAAGTGCTGTCAGATCAAGTATGAATTTTCAAACCTGTAATTAGTCATTCAGTGGGCACCATTTCTCTGTGTGTTACTTTGGAGGTGAATGATGTTGTAAAGCACAGACAGGTGTAAAATCTGATTTTCCTATGGGTTTCCACATCCTCTACTTGTCCTTCACTGTGTCATTCCAAAGGGAGAGTGTAAGCCACAAAACTTTAGATACAGACATCCAAATTAATCTTGGGGAAAATTTAATTACATTTATGAAGTGTGTTTTCCCTTTGACTTATGTCTGGATTTCTATGGATGTCTAATGATAAATATAATCTGTATAACCTAAATTGAGACAATTTGTGCTCTGGACTGTAGGGAATTCTTAAAAAAATCAGGATATGTCCCTCAATGAAGAGAGCAATAAGTGTGTAATTAAGTACATTACTTTCACTTGTACTCACTCTTCAGCTTTTAAACACTTGTTAATTAAGGATTTAAGGTAAAATGACAACACCACAACTAACCTGTTGGAATTTTAAACCTTCTGTACTAAAAGGCACAAACCCACTAGAAAATACTACATTTGATCTGAGGCTATAAAAAAAGCTTCCAAAATTAATTAACAGCACTGGGATTAAGGGTGTGTGGTTTAATTAGAAGTGTGAAATATCACCGTTTGGGAGATAATACTTCTTTGGAGAAAAGTGGAAAAAAACTTGTTTATTAAACAATAAAACTTAAACAATATTAAACAATAAAACCTTAAGGTAAAAAACTTAAAAACTTAATGTTAAAAAACTTATAGTTTTAAAATAGCAACATATATAAAACAAAATAGAAGTTTTAGGATAGTAACTAATCCTTCTTCACCTTCTTCTCCATAGGTTTGGGTAATATAAAACAAAATAGAAGTTTTAGGATAGTAACTAATACTTCTTCTTCACCTTCTTCTCCATTGTTTTGGATAATATAAAACAAAATAGAAGTTTTAGGATAGTAACTAATCCTTATTCTTCACCTTCTTCTCCATAGTTTTGGATAATAGAAAACAAAATAGAAGTTTTAGGATAGTAACTAATACTTCTTCACCTTCTTCTCCATAGTTTTGGGTAATATTTTGTAATTAGACAGAAAAGTCCACATTGTGGACTTGGAAGGATTAGTTATTGAGTTAAAAGTAAAATAATTTAAGTATAATTTCTTAATTAGATCATTTAGCCTTAAAAAACCTTATATAGAAAAATAATTAACCATTTGGTAACTTATTAGTAAAATACTATAGAACTCACAGCTTACAATATGGATAAAAATAATAATAAGGGTAATAGTAATAATAAATATGGATAAATAATAATAATAAATATGGATTGAAATAAACACCTAAGTGTAAACACAAAAGACCATCTCAAAGCCTTCAATCCCTCCCTGAAGAGGAGCAGAAGAGGCAGGAGGCAGCAGTAACCTCTGTGCCTGTCCCTGCAGATCGATGGCTCCACGCTGCGCACGCTGTGTCTGCAGCACGGCCCCCTCATCACATTCCACTTGAACCTGACCCAAGGCAATGCTGTGGTCCGATACAGTTCCAAGGAGGAAGCAGCCAAGGCCCAGAAGTCTCTGCACATGTAAGTTCCTGCTCCTTCTTTTTTTTTTTGTTACAAAGCCATTCTAGCTCAGAAAAGATTTTCTTAGGTGTAACCGATCACTAGTTACTTCAGTCTTAATTTTTTAAGATTACCTAATGGGAGAGGGAAAAGTGAACTGGGGGTAGATACTGAATCAGGGGGTGTTAGAAAACTTAAATCAGCATAAATAATTGTTGTGGTGCACCCCAAGTCCCAGCTAGGTGATATCAGGGGTGTGACACATCCCCCTTTTGAGCTCTGTAGAATCAAAAATGCAGCAGCATGGGGCCTGGGGTGGACTGGGGTAACTTTATTTGATGGCAAAACCCCCCAAGTCCAGGGTCCCAGGACCCCACACTGAGGGCAAACAACAGCTTAGAAACAGGGGAGGTCTCAGGGGAGGATATAATCTTTAACTAATCTGAGAACTGGGGGTGGAACACAAGGCAGGGAATACATGTGGAGGATTTCAAGGGAGGAGAACAGTTTAAATGAACTGATGGGGTTTGGAAGGATACAAAACTGACAGGGAAGTTTTTAAAGGGAAGGGCAGGCTCTGGGAGGGATTGACATTTAATGGAAGGAAGAGTAAGGAAGGTTCTGGGGAAAGGGTAGGGACAGGGGGGGTTTGAAACTTGGCAGGGAGTGGTCAGGTAACAAACAGAAAAACTGATACTGAACAGAGCTGAATAACAACGAGGGAACAAGTCTAATTTTAGAAACATAATATACAAAATGGGGGGCTTGTACCACTCCAAAGACAGGAAGAGGACAATACAGAGGGATTGCAAAACCACAAATTAAACAGTGAACATGGCAAATAAAGAAAAAGCACTACAACAATAATATCCTCAGTTAGGACTTGTCACCTCTAAGGCCACAAAGAAGTTGTAGGATGTGATGAGGATTCCAAAGGAAGCTCAGGGAGAGCACAGGACAAGGTTTTAGCTTTAGAGGGAAACAGAGAGGGTAAAACAATGCTAAATAAGGAGTGTATTCATGGTGGTCCCCTTTTTTTTTTAAGGAGTTATGAGAGAAGTGTATGACAACAAAATCAGCTTTTTAGGAGTTTTACAATCAACGGGAGTAATTGGCATATGTGGTAAAATCAGTGCCACTGGGCAGGATGAAGAATATCTGCTTTTAGGAGTTTTTAAATCAGTGGGACTAATTGGCATAAGGGCATAAGTGATAAAATGGTAAAATCAGTGCCATTGGGCAGGATGAAGAATACAGAGAGTGATGTTTCAGGAGAATTACTTGGGTATTTAGAGAACTTGGGTATTTAGAGTTGGAAAGCAATTCCCTTTATCAACAGGTTATAGAAAGTACTGAGGCAGTGGGAGCATCATTTGGCTGGAGAGCTTCTGTCCTTATTCCTGAAGAGAATTGAGGCTCCAGGACATGTCAGTTAGAGGTGGTTTCCACATGTGTAGATTTGGGTGTTTGTGGATATAGAAAGGTGGATAGAAAACAGGACAGAGCAGGCTTGGTGGAAGAGATAGGGGTTGCTCAAAGTGAGGGGATATGATGGAAATTTTCACCTTGATTGCAGCTTGGGGGAGGTGGATCCCTGTCACAGAATTTCTGGGGTTGGGAGGGACGTTAAAGCTCACCCAGCCCTCTCCTGCCATGGGCAGGTGTCACCATAGGACACAAAACAACAGGAGTGCACACACCAAGGTGCTCTCAAGGTGAAGAAAATGGAAGTTTCTCTTCTGACTCCAACATTTATAGATTTCCAAAAGTGACAGTGGATTGGAGGGTGACAGTGCCACCTCTCCAATGACACTGGACAAACCAACACTCCATCAAATTTCTCCTCCTCCATAAAAGAATGCAAAACAACAAGTTATTTACAGAAGGCGTGTGAGAAAGTTCATTACAAGAATGTAAACATCAGAAAATCTTAAAAAAATCAGGGTGACAGGCAGGGACACCTCCCACTATCCCAGGCTGCTCCAAGCCCCATCCAGCCTGGCCTTGGACATTCCAGGGATCCAGGGGCAGCTTCTCTGGGCACCTGTGCCAGGCCCTTGGACATTCCAGGGATCCAGGGGAGGCTTCTCTGGGCACCTGTGCCAGGGCCTTGGACATTCCAGGGATCCAGGGGCAGCTTCTCTGGGCACCTGTGCCAGGGCCTTGGACATTCCAGGGATCCAGGGGAGGCTTCTCTGGGCACCTGTGCCAGGGCCTGCCCACCCTCACGTTTTCCCCATACCCCATCTAACCCTGCTCTGTGTCAGGCTGAAGCCATTCCCCTTTGTCCATAGTCTCTGTCCATGTTCCCTGGAGGCTCCTTCAGGCATGGGAAGGGTGCAGTTAGGTCAGGAGTTAGGACTTCCTGACCCTTCCACTAAACAGCCTGAATCACCCCCTGAGACAGCCCCTGCACAAGCTCCAACACCACAAACAAAGTCAGCACCAATCCTCACCCCCCAGTCAAAAGCAACCCCACTCCCTCTGAATAAAGCATGGCCACCCCACTAAAATCTGATTGGACCGACAACAGACCCCCCTATAGTAGGGGTAGTAACCCCAACACACCCCCTATAGCAGGCCCCCCCCCCACCACAGCCAACCCTATCCCAAGGCCATAACCCCATAACCCTATCCCAGCCACAACCAACCCTATCCCAAGGCCATAACCAACAACACCCCAGTTAGCCCAGGCTTCTGGGTAAGGATCTGCTGCCAACAACACGGAATAAACCAACACCACCAACATCCCCCCTAAATAAACCATAGCAAACACCAATCCCAATTCCCTCAGCCATTCCTGACAGAAAGCACCCTTTACACCTGTCTTGGTTTGGAAAGACAGGAGTCTGCTAAGAAAGGCAGGAACCTCCCCTGAAATGGAGAATATAAACCCTCCCCACCCCTCCCAATTGCTATAAATTTGAAATTAAGGGGCTCTCAGGCAAAAAATATGGGAGCAGGAAATAACAGTTCTTTAATAGGGAAGAAAAAAATAAAAGGATAAAATAAACAATGCAGTACACTAGAACAACACTGCCAGAGTCAGAACCCAGCCTGACACCCTGTGGGTCAGGGTGCTGGCAGCAGAACCATTGGAATTGTGGCTCAGCCCTCCTGCAGTGTCAGGGGTGGCTCTGCTGGAGCAGGGATCCTGGAGAAAGGTGCAGTCTCTGCCTCTGAAGATCCAGGGCAAGAGGCAGCTGCTGTTCCTCTGGGGAATCCAGTGCAGAAGCTGTGCTGGTGTTCCAGAATCTCAGATTATATCCAGGTAGGAATGCTTGGCTCCTCCCTCTGGGCTCACATCTCCCAGTGGGATGCTGTAGTTCTTATCAGCCATGCAGGGACATTCCATAGCTGTTATCAGCAGGTGTCCCCTCCCCAGGGAGGAGTGATTGTGATCACTCAGAGAGAGATAAGGCAAACTGCCCACCTGACAAAAGCCAACTGCCATACAGATGGTAGCAGAAAACATCTTGCATTGCAATCTGGAACAACAGCTCACACTTTGCTGTCCCTCAGGTGTGTCCTGGGCAACACCACCATCCTGGCGGAGTTTGCTGGTGAGGAGGAGGTGAACCGGTTCCTGGCGCAGGGGCAGGCGCTGCCGCCCACCTCCAGCTGGCAGTCCAACACTGGATCCACGCCCGGCCGCCTGGGCTCCTCGGGCAGCTCCCACGGGCTGGTGCGCCCCGACGCCGGCCACTGGAACCCCCCGTGCCTGGGGGGCAAGGGCAGCAGCGACCTGCTCTGGGGGGGGGTGCCCCAGTACTCCAGCAGCCTTTGGGGACCCCCCAGCGCCGACGACGGAAGGGTCATCGGGAGCCCCACGCCCCTCAACACCCTCCTGCCGGGGGATCTGCTCAGCGGGGAATCCATCTAGGAGACACGGTGGAAGTAACAATCATCAGCACTAAAGGAGAACAGAGAATTGAAAAAAAAAAAAAAAATTAAAAAAAAAAAAGAATTAAAAAATGGTAACCCTTTCCAGTCCCGGGCTTGATGAAGAATCCAGCTTTAACCCATGAGACTGGCAGCCCTCCTTAGTACCTCTGTCCAATATTGAATCTGAAACTGCAGAAGTCCTTGTGAACTGTTCCTGAAACAGTATGGGCTCCTTTGGTCAGTGTCACATGCTAATGACAGGTTTTACTTTTTTCATGGCTTTTTTTTTTGTTTTGTTTTATGTCGTCTTTTTATGTTTGTATGGTGATTTTTCAAAACCAAGTATAAAAGCTGCTTAGAATAGGTCTATCATGAAGGGCACTTTTCAGAATTTGGGCTGGAAAGGGTTATTTTATCAACTTGGGGGGGGTGGGAAGGGGAAATGAAAGCCTATTTAAATGAGCCTGTGACTATTATGCACATTACAGAGGCGGACCCAATAATCAGAAAGGGTGAAGTGTGATATTTTACCATTGGTACAGAAAAGTGACGATTCCCAGTGGCAACTCTGGACTGTACAGGTTGAGAGGGGGGGAGGGAGGGCAGGGTTGGGGTATCTCTGTGTCCACTACTCCCATGGATCTGCCTATGCACATTACCCTTGTTTCATTACTTTTTCATGTCATTTTTTAATCCCAAAAAATATAAAAAGTAAAAAAAAAGAATAAAAAAAAAATCAACAAAGAAAGAAAAAAAATACTTAAAAAAAAAAGCAACAAACCATATCAACATGCAAATACTTGAATCCAGCAGGCCAATAACAAAATGTGAACACTTTCTGAGTTGAATTATTACACTTCCAGGTCAGCATCAGTACACAAAAAACAGGCTCTAAGAATTTTGTTTTTTAAAAGTTCAGACTCTATGTTTTTGTTGGGACAGATGTGAGTGAGTGTGTGTGTGTGTGTGCCTGTGTGTGCGTGTGCCCACGTGTGGTTTAACTCAACGTGTGAAGTTTTTTCCTTTGGTTCAGTATATGCTTTTTATTTGCTCATTGGTCAAATGTTTAATTGTTATTAGCTTCTAACTTTGCACTGAGTGTCCGCAGCCCTTCTTGTAGCTAATCCTGTAATGGTAAAAACACACAAAAAACAAAAAAAGAAAAAAAAAAAAGGAAATTTAAAAAAAAAAAAGGAAAGAAACTGATAGAAGGGGCCGGCGACAATTCACGTGTAAATGTTTACTCAAGGACTCTTATTGCATTTTAAAATTACAGTGTGTATCTCTGGAGAATAATATGTATATCTACCTTTAGCGGCTTTTTATTGTGGACTAATGCAAGAAAATTATTACCGGAGTATTGCACCATTTTTCCATTCGGAATATAAAGTTTAAAAAAAAAAATACTCTTGTTGAACTGTGGCCATAGATAATTGTAAAGAGTTGATAGTTCCCTTGCAAGCAGGAACAGAAACAAGCACTTGGACATAAGTTTTGACTGCTTTTGGAGGAGCCAGGAGTTTTGGCTCCCACCTGTTTACAGACCTTTTTTTCTCCTTCAAACTTTAAAATAAAAAAAGGAATTTAAAAAAAAAAAAAAAAAAAGAGAAAAAACAAAACAAAAAAAAGACTTCCATCGTAAAGAAAACTATTTTCAGAATGAAGATATGCTACTTCAGAGCTCTGGGATTGAACAGTGTTGTTGTATTATCCTTTTCTTTGGCCATTGCTGTGTACTATTTTTGTTGTTGTTTTCCTCCTCTTCGTCAAAGTGGCGAAAACTTTGTGATCACTATCTTGCACATGGTGGAAGATGTCTCAGGAAAGCCGGGTTTCCCGAGGAGCAACTCCACACCATTTCATGTATTTTTAAAACCCAACTCCTAGCACTGAAGATATTATTAAAAAACAAAATAAAATAAAAAAAAAAGACAGTAAGAAAGAAGAAAAATACCTAATCTAATGTGTAGCAGTTACATATTTACCAAATAATGGACTCAAAAGAAATAGATGTTTGAAGAGTGCTTTATATATTAAAAAATCGCTTTATGTTTAAAAAAAGATCAATGTTTTTGATTGTTTTGAAAGGAAGAAAGACAATGGAATAACATACACTTCAAGTATGTTTTAAAAATTATATGAACATTGTGCTCCCTGCCTGCTTGGATCAGGAAACTTGTGCATTACATTTTTTTTTTTTTTGGAAGATTAGCTTTTTAATGGTTTTATCAGATTTAAAGGGTCCTGCAAGATTGCAAATTAACAAAAGCTGGTTTTATAGAGGATCATGAACTATGCACAAACTGGGTTCAAGACTTGTTTTTTTTTTTTTTTCCTCAAGTTTTAGTAGTGTATTTAGCTGAATAACCTTTCCTCAGAGTAATTGCATCTCATTGCCATTACACGCCTCCTACATATATATTTTATATATACATATATATACACACACACACTTATATAAAATATGTATGTGTGTATGTGCGTGTTTACATACAATTTTCCATGCTGAAGTTTAGCATTGAGTTGTAGAAAAACTCCTGATATTTTCAAATTGGGAATGAAAATTTCTGTTGGAGGGGTTGGGGGGGGAACTGGGTGGGTTTTGTTTTTAGGGGCTATTTTTTTTTTTTTTTGCCTTTCCTTTTGAATTAAAGATGTCTGTAACTCTGAGATTAAAAAGAAAACCAACAATTGTGGCTTTTAATGTTTATTCTCCTCATAGAATGTGATTGTTAAAAGAACATGCACCGAAAGTTGCTTTCAAGAGTACGAAGATTCTTTGAAACTTAATAAATTGCAGTTTTTTCTTGGCTGTTGAAATAATGTGTACTTTTCTTTTATGCAGGGGATACTAAATATATATATATTGTTAAAAATGTGAAGGTATTTCATGGAAGGAGTTTAATTTTGAATGAGAATTCTGTGTACAGACAGGCAAACCCCTCCTGTTGTGGTCACCCCTCTCCTCCCTGCTGGTGACACTCATGAGCTTTTCCATCAACACTTTGCACATCTCATCCAGGAGCAGCAGAACCCATCTTTGCCTTCAGATTCTGTTTTTTCTCATTCATCCATGTCTCCAGTAACACAGTAGGTGAGTTTGTTACCCCCTCCAGCCAGGCTGGGGCTCCCCCAGCTCCTCCCCAGTTTCTGGCCCTGGGTGTCTCTAAATGCCATTTTAGAGATAAGATCTTTTTGAGGTGAGCAACAGCCCCTAAAAAGGGGAGAAACAGCAAAATGCTTTCGTGTTTGGCCTTGCAGGGTTTGAGTTCAGGAAGGTGTTGACCATTTGAAGGTTCTTTTACCCCAAAGATGTCAGTGCAGGGCTGGGGGCTCATGGAGAGGTCCCAGCCTTGCTCCCAACCAGTCCCTGAGCCCCCACTGGCACTGGAGCCACTGGTGCTGGGGGTGATGCTCAGCAGGGTCCCAGGGGTGTGAGTTTGTCCAGAGGAGCTCATTCCCCTCATCCATGTGGGCAGGAGAACCTGGCATGAACAGCTGGGTTATTGAGGGTTGTTCAGCTCTCAAGCACCACCCACGGTTACTGGGATTGTCCATGAGCCAGAATTCCCAGGAAAGACCCAGTGGCTGTTGGGTCTGAGTTGTGCTGGCAGATATGATACAGTCAAAATACCCAAATTCAGCCTTGGGGGTAACTTCTGTGATGGAAACAGCAAAAACTCCCAGTCTGGAGCCTGTTCTGCCAATTTGATTGATCTGGCCCCAAAATCACACAGCTGTTTTTCACTGGAAGCTGCTTCCCCTCCACCTCTTTTTTTTTTTTTTTTTTTCTCTTCCAGGTGTTAATAATGAAACTTAAAAGAAAGTTGCCTTTTATTTTCCTTCTCTGATTCTTGGGTTTGTGTTTTGTTGGGCATTTTGTCCTTGGCAAGGAGGTTTTCAGTTTTGGTGTCTCTGGGCTTTGTTGCCAAGATATTGAGGTCCCTTACAGAGTCAGATGTTTTACTCTTCCATGAAGTTGGCAGCAACAACTTTTTGTAAACCAGATGCACTCTTAAAATTCAGAAACCTCCACTGATACATTGAAGGGAATTTCAGCTTCTGGCCAAAATCAATCTTTCAGTGTTTGCATAGCTCTTTATTTTTTTCAGTGTCATTCTTCTGCTTCAATGCTATCCAGTATTTCTTAAATTGTAAAGAAAGCTCCTGATGATCAGGATTCACCCTCTGGCTGCAGAATCTTTACAAGAAAACATTTTTAACACTTTGTGTTTTTCTGTACATTGCATTTGCTGTACCCTCCATGGCACCTTCACTGCATGGCTCCCTGTCTTTAGGCCAAGAGAATTTCTCTTTCCTAAGCGGTCTGAAACTGTCAGATTTCTTAGTTCTTTGTCTAGTTTGTGGGTGGCACTGGCAGAGCAGATGTTTTGCTATTCTCCAATGAATATATTATTGTTCTTGCTAATTCAATATATGATTGTGTATGTGAAGGAGCTTTTTAATTAAAAACAACAAAAAAAAGTATATGGCTATCTGTATATGTTAAGAATTACTGCAGTTGGAAGAGTCTGGAAATGAAATTGGAAAACATTTTAGGATTTGGATTGTGGGGAGCCACAGCGTGGAGGACCCGAGGTGAGCCGAGCATCCCCCGATGTCGCACGATGTCACAGAGGTGACAATCTCACGGAGGTGACACAAGGACACGGGGGTGACAGTGTTTTTTACATTTTATCAAAAATCCTTTCCTTAGGATTTTTTCTCCTGAGAGGCCTCAGGAACAAGATGTAACCAATGGTTATCTGCTGCTGTGGAATGCAACAGGTGCATCTGGGATTGGGCTCATGTGGTTGTTTCTAATTAATGGCCAATCACAGTCAGCTGGCTCGGACTCTCTGCTTTTGTTATTAATTTCTTTTCCTATTCTTAGCCAGCCTTCTGATGAAATCCCTTCTATTCTTTTAGTATGGTTTTAATATAATATATATCATAAAATAATAAATCAAGCCTTCTGAAACATGGAGTCAGATCCTCGTCTCTTCCCTCATCCTCGGACCCTGCGAACGCGGTCACAGCACCCGGCCTGTCCGTGCTGCTCGGGATCCTGCGGGGCCGCTCGGCGCCGGGCAGCTCCGCAGAACGGAGCTCCGGGACCTCCGGGTGTCACCCGCCCGGTGCCACCGAGCCCGGGGCCACCGCGGCACCGGGAGCTCCTGCGGGAGCCGGCACTGTCACCCCCTGTTCCTTGTGTCACCTCCGTGAGATTCACCTCAGCTGCGGGAGCCGGCACTGTCACCCCCTGTCCTTGTGTCACCCCCGTGAGATTCACCTCAGCTGCAGGAGCCGGCACTGTCACCCCCTGTCCTTGTGTCACCCCCGTGAGATTCACCTCAGCTGCGGGAGCCGGCACTGTCACCCCCGTGTCCTTGTGTCACCCCCGTGAGAGTC